ATGAGTTGTTGTCCTGGGGCCGTATTCACAAAGAATTTTGTCTTACCACTAGGAGTACTCCTAAATCGCACTCAAATATTTTAGCTAGGAGTTTTCTCTTAAAAGTTATTCACAACGCCTTTCAGACCTACTCTTAGTAAGGAAAAATGACAACTCCTAAACTAAGAGTGAGTCTTCGTTGCTATAGATGACGTCACTTCTCATGCACGAGCTTCCTCGCAATGATCATGGTGATTGGTTGTTAGATGACAGGGCCATCATGCGGAGCATAACACAGACGCAACAAATCATGGAATTACGACATCTAAATATGTCTGTGTCCTACACAAAATAATAATAGTAATGACATCGAAATGCATATATAATGACATGTTTGTGCAGGCCCCAGTGAAGTGTAATTCTAAAAAGGCAGAGAGAGAGAGAAAAGTCGTGAATTCAATTAAATCAAGGTAATACCCTAATGAAAACCGCCACTTGCCTAATAATGAAAAAACGACACTTGCCAACTGAGGACTGAGGACATTGACTGAATGTCCTCAGTCAAATACCTTAGTACACTTGCTTGGTTAATTGACATCCTATTAGCCTAAATAGAAAAATAAACTTAAAGCAAGGAAATGTTGCTCCTATTGAAGTAATGTAATAGTTGATTTACGGTGGATTATGAACTTGCCAAAACTTAAAAGAAAGCCCAACTGGACGCAGGATCAGTTACTGCTGCTGGCCCAGTTGGTGGCTTGGTGCTCAAAAAAAGTAATAATGATACAAGTGAAATTCGGCACTGGGATATCAAGCAAAACTAAGCGTGAGAATGGGAGAGGATTTGTTCGCAGATCGATGCAGAATTTCCCGCTTGTGTCGCGGACCCCGGACGACTGCGAGAGGCGCTGGTGTGCGCTACAATCCTTTGTGAATAGGTCTTAGTGAGTTAGGAGTCCTCTCGACTTCTTTTAAGCTGTCCCAGACTTAGGTGCTACTTTTAGGGCTAAAATGCTTCGTGAATTACTCTTAGTGAAAAAAATTAGGAGTCCTAAAGTTAGGAGTGACACGCCCATTATTTTTAGGAGTTGCTCCTAAATTCGCCAGTTAGGAGCTACTTTTAGCCTTAAAATTCTTTGTGAATACGGCCCCGGATCATCATCTCTAAGACGCTATGAACCATTTGACTAGTAAATAAAACTTCAAACATACACTAATGTCAAACATACACTAATTGTGTTGGTACAAATTTTAATGTTTTTAAAGAAGTTTCTTATGTTCACCAAGACAGCATTAAAAACAATAATATTGTGAAATAATATAATAATATTGCTAGCAAAAGTTGTCATAGGTGATATGTTTTAAAAAACATTCAAAACTTAGACATAAACTTTGAAATAGCAAAAGAGGAAACAACCCCTTACAGTTTCACATAATGTGTCATTGAATGAAATACAATGCAAGTCAATGAAATAATGCCAATTAATCCACTAATCATACAGAACTCTACAAAATACACCTCAGTCAGATATGATCTTTCTGCTTACCCTTTCTCTGTTTAATTTTCTTTAATTTCATGCTGACAGATGCAGCCAAAAAACAAGGAGCAAAAGTGGTGGAAGCCGAGGAAAAAATAAAAACCTGGCTGAAGTATAGTGGAGACCGAAATGGAGGAAGAAAAAAAAGAGCAACAGAAAAAGGTACACAAGGCCTTTTTAAGGCTGATCAAATATGTTATTAATTATTATATATATTAATATATAAGTTGTAAGTAATTTACATTTTGATAATTACTATATTTTTTCTTTAACACAGAAAAGCAGATGCCTCCCCCTCAAGCAGATTCCAGCAGCTGTGAAAGTGAATGTAAGTGTCTTCCAATGATTGTTTTTTCTTCCTCTGTCTAACCCCACCACTAAACAGAGGTGTATTTCATCTTTACTAGGCGTACACTGCATTAAGATGTATAATTAATTTGCTACCCCAACATGATGAAAATCTCTTGCAGGTGGGAAATACATACTACTGTTCCCCCATAAAACTATACACTCAACTACTAACACCATATTTTTTCAGTTACACAATATATACCTTAGGTCTAAAAAAACACACACAAAAAAAAAACACACAACATACACTAAATCACTAAATTAATGGTTAAAATCCATAATGCACCAGAAAAGAAAAATATGGTATTTTAATGGGCATTTTGAGGTAAGTTCTAAGAGTCAAATGTGTAATTTTCAACGTTTGATATGTTGACTATGTCCTTTTCGCAAATGATCACATTCTGCTTTTCTGTTTGCTGTTTGTATATTTTACACAACACCCCAACTTTTTTTTCTGTTTTGGGTTGTGTAATTAAAATAGAACGACACATCTTAAATGTTCTAAAAAGTTGTTTGTATGTTTGTTGTTTTTTACAGGAGTGTATGCTGCTACTTCTCCTCCTCCGCTCCGTCTTCATCATCAGAGCCACACACAATCTCTAATTCGCTTCAAATCTGCAGAATACGGAAGAGAATCTGCACATTTTCTCAGTTTTCAGCAGGTTTTTTTTTTTTTTGCTCTTCTTCCGCATTTTCTTTGCCGCCTTTTTTGTGACTTTTTGGTTCCTTGTTGATTTCTTTGACTTTATGTTTTACTTTTTTTGCCGCTGCCTTTGGGTAGTTTTTTTTTCTACTTTTTTGTCGATCGACTCATCGTAGCAAATCCAGAATGAAAATCTGCAGAATGTATCTGTATAAAATGTCTATATAATGAACTGTGGAGATGTTTTAACCAATAAATAGGTTCATTTTTTATAAACAATTCAGTTTGTCTGTTGTGCCGTCTCTTAATGCAATTCAACACTGAATAGGCCATGCATGGCACAATCTTAAAATTTTAGTTTAAGGTAGGTAAAGCCTATTTATTTATTTATTTACTATTTATGAAGTTGGCAGATGGTTAAAATAGGCTATATTTTTAAATTTGTTTGAAGGTCTGCTGGTTGTCCAATAACATGGTTGGCCCAACGTTGGCCCAATGTTGTTTTAGTTGTTTTTAAGTTGGCAGAAGGTTGGTAAGGTATTTTTAGGTTGGCAGAAGGTCTGCTGGCCGTCCAATGACATGGTTGGCCCAACGTTGGCCCAATGTTGTTTTAGTGGCTTTTAGGTTGGCAGAAGGTCTGCTGGCCGTCCAATGACATGGTTGGCCCAACGTTGGCCCAACGGACAAAATTACGTTGGGCCAACGTCAGCACCCAACGTTGGCCCAACACAACAACAGACGTTGGGCCAACGTTGGGCCATCGTCTGTTTGCTACCTGGGTAGTCCCTTCAGAAAATGTTGACTAAACAGCTCAATTCATATGGATTAGTTTTACAATCTTGAACATTTTTAAGCGTCAAAGTGTCAGTTGTGTTCCATCAAAAAGATCATCATTTGTGTTCAGAAGATGAACGGATTTGGAACGACATGAGGTGGGTGAGTAACGTTATATGACATAATTTTAATTTTTGGGTGAACTGTGTGGACCTGACATTCATAAATTAATATTGACATTTATTAAAATAAACAACTGATATGTCTCGCTCGCTTAGATTAACAGAATCATTCTAACTCTACTAACGTTACAGTCTACGTTGCACATGACATTGGAACCAGCTAGGAGTTGCCACAGAAACTGCTTGAAGCGGCTAAGTTGACCGCTGGATAAATGAATTTGATAACTGAATTTACGGCAACAAAAATTACATAATAAACCACAGCAAAACGTAACCTACCAAAACAGAGATGCAAATAACATGTCAATTCCCACGTGAGGTTGAGAGGAACACGGCACTCTTTTCTTCATCGTTCAGCGTCTGCGACTCGACTCGAGTTCTTCATCATACTGCCTTCTAGTGTGCTGGAGAGGCGGTCGGTGACGGTGACTACTTTCGACTTCACAAAACAGGTACACAAAGAGAATTCAAAAAGACGACTTTTATTATTCAGAATTCATCATATTCACTTTGACTTTCGTTGAATCAGAATCATATTATCATGAATGCAATTTTTGGACATCTCGTGTGCGTTTCCTCACCTTTTAGTCGATCTATGTATTGCAAACTCAAGTTTTTATTATTCTGGCAACAATCCCAACCATCCAAAAATATGACAAATGTCATGTACTTTAATCATCATCACACAACTGCCAAAATTACCCAAGGCACATTATATGACATCATCAAGCTGTTTGTCACACACAGCTGTGCTGATGATATTCAGTGTGAGGTGCTTAAATATGCAGTGTATTTAAACGGCATCATTTCATCACACTTAAAATTACAACACAACATAAATGAATACAAAGTTAATAGCTGTTTGTTCTAAAAACGGCTACAAATTTGTAAATTGTGAAGGTGAATGTGTATTTAGTTGCTTGAATCATTGAAGTATAATGTACTTCACACCTTCTTCTTTTTAGTTTGGACCTTTTTCAGACTGTGATGAGTTTTTTCCACAGTTATCAATATCTCAAATCTAGTAAAGTTTTTCATATCAAAAAAATGTAATACACATTCATAACGCTTTATATTGTTATATTACCTTGTCAGAAAAAAAATACCACTGTGAGGGTGTTTCTAACACAACGGCTGAGGGAATGATGGCAAATTTGACATCTTTCTTCTAATCAATCTCTTTATTTTTCCCTCTTTTGGAAAGTCGTGGAAACTCTATTACAGATTTTTCTTTTGCTATTGGAGCAATTAAAAAATTATATTTGCAGTCATCTCCCCTTCACCGCTATAGAAGTTTACCCAACTATGACAACTTCTGTTTCTTGGGCTTCATTCAAGCTGTTGATATTGGTGTAAATAAGCTTGGACTTCATGATCCTAATGCAAGATGTTGCACTGTTGATGTAGATATGTAAATATGATTTATTTTCCTAATAGAACTTGATATCTTAATAAAGCAAGAACGGACATTTGCTCCTAGAGGATGACTGTGAATATCACAGGTCTTCTTATGACCAAAGGCTGATGAGAGAGTTTTGTTTTTAGGAAGAACAATGTCTCCTGGTCTTCACATCCATATCCGATAGAATCCAAGAACTACTGTGAGACATGTGAATACTGAACCTAGAAGAATTACAAAAATAAATCATGAATGGAAATAAACACTGAAACAGTCTCTTACTGACCAGTTATTTGAATAACTAATCTTGAAAAATTTCTCTTGACCTCTTTATCGGTATGATTAATGTAACATGGACATTCTGCAGCTGTGTGTACGGCAGGTCCTTGAGACGGAACTTAATGAACACACTATCTTTGCAGAGACCAGTGGTGGACAAAGTAATCAAGTACTTGAGTAAAAGTACAGATATTCTAATAAGACATTACTTCAGTAAAAGTACTCCTTTTTTAATTTTACTTGATTAATACTTGATTTTTAATGTACTGATCAATGAATTATGTTTAGGATTAGTTCAGACATCTGCAAATAAACAAAAGTTTTATACACTAGCAAGTAGTAATCAAAAGTAGTCATACACTATCTAAATATTAAATCTCAATATACTAATATATCAATTTAATTTCCTGATAATTCAAGTGTACAAACAAGAAAAATAACAAAATATTCCATTGTATTTAAAAAATTAGGAAAAACAATGTGTGTAAACAAAAAAAAGTATGAACATACAATATACAGACACCAGTCCACCACTGGCCGAGTCTTTTTATTTATTATTATTATTTTTATTATTTATTTATTTTATTTTACTTGCAGCCTCATTTTGGGCCTTCATAAAATAAATAAGCTCAACAATAAGTTTCAGCCTCATTCCAAACTTGAACTTGAGGACTGCAAACACCCTGTATGCATAGTCCGACAGATGTACAACTTTTTCAAATTGCAAATGTGTGATCTTGACACTTTTACCTGCAAGATATTTGATAGTATCTAGTTTATGTGCCTCTAGCATAGTCTTCAGGCCAGCCACTTCTGTGTCGATTTTCATGTTGGTCTCTGTCACATGCCGATCCTGCTCAGAATGCTAAGAAAGAAACTCCAGTTTTATAAAAAGTTTCATACAAAAAATCAAGAAGATATTATTGTCCTAAATACTGGTACTTCTCACCATTTCCATCAATTCATTCCTGGTCCCAATAAGTTTTCTGTCAAAGTCTACCGTCTGGACCAAGAGCAAACATCTCAGTTAAAGCGTAACTTCCAGCTCAAAACGTCACAACTCTAATACACATCTTTGGTTTCCAGAGACGGTGAAGCTTCCAAAGCTGTTTTTCTAGCGAGTCTTTGATCTTACTGTACTTGTACTTACCATCTCCTTTACACGGCTTTTCTCTATGTTCAAATCCAAAATGGTATCTGCACGCCTTTTGCTTATCACATCCTGCAGCACAAAAACAAAATGTAAAACTATAATAACTAGAGTAGTACCCAGTAAATTTGTATGGTCAGGGGCTGTGTATTTAAGGTCTGAATAGCAAAGTAAAACCTTTTTTTATGATCAAAAAGTTGTTTTTTAACTTACAGTGATTTGTAACTTTAGCTGTGATAGCTCAACCTTGATTTTCTGTAAAGGAAATAAGATACGTAATACTTCTTTATTAGGTGATGTACCAATTGAGGGATTCAAGGCAAACCAAATAATGACCTTATTCAAAAAAAGGCATCACTTTTTATTTCACAGCTACTATGTTACATTATTTATTTGAATATACCAAGCCAAGAGATTCAGACGGCATAAGGAAATATTTATATTTATTTATATACACTAACGTTCAAAAGTTTAGGTTCAGTAAGATTTTTTTAAAAGAAATTAATACTTTTAATCAGCAAGGACACAATAAATTTATCAAAAGACATTTATAATGTTCCAAATGATTTCTATTTGAAATAAATCCTGTTCTTTGGAAATTTCTATTTATCACAGAATCCCGATTTTTTTTTTAACAAGATTTACACAAAAATATTAAAAAGCACAAACGTCTTCAACATTGATAGTAAGAAATGTTTCTTGAGCACCAAATCAGCATAGTTGAATGATTTCTGAAGGATCATGTGACACTGAAGACTGGAGTAATGATGCTGAAAATTCAGCTTTGCCATCAAAGGAATAAATTACATTTGAAAATATATTCAAATAGAAACATTGATTGTAATAATATTTCACATTACTGTTTTTACTGTATTTTTTTAATCGAATAAATGCAGACTTGGTGAGCATAAGAGACTTCTTTAAAAAAAAACTTTTAAAAAAATCTTACTGACCCCAAACTTACAAATAATGTAAGTATACAAATCGAGTGGGTGATGATGATAATAATAGATAACACAGCACAAATGATGAGAGGTCTCACCTCATTGTCTGCCAATAATGCTGAGAATTCACTCTTCTCAAGAATGATCATGTCCTTTTTCACAGTGGTGATATGAGACATGACTTTCTGTAACATGATTTCCTGTAAAAACAAAAATAGTCAAGAAGAATAACTGACCTGTTCGACCTGGACTCTGCTATGAGGGAAGTTGTATAGACAACAGGCAGCCAACACAAGTTTTTTTTTATTATTTTTTTTATGTGTACATTAAAGGTGCAATGTGTAATATTTCTGAGGATCTATTGACAGAAATGCAATATAAGATCCATAACTATGTGTTCAGTGGTGTATAAAGACCTTACTCAATGAACCGTTATGTTTTTATTACCTTAGAATGAGACATTTATATCTACATAACCGCGGGCACCCCCTTCTATGAAGGTCGACATATTGTGACGTCATGTTTCTACCGTAGCCGACAGCGAACAAACAGCGCTACAGTGCGCGTTTCGTCACTACCTTGAAAGAGAAGCAGCAGAAAGCTAGAAGCTAGCCATAGACACCGTGAGTAGTGACTTTTCCCTTGTCAGTGGTGTAAAATATGTAGTTGGATTGTTTCATGTAACTTAGTTCTTCTCCCTCGCTGTGTTATGGCTTTGACAATCAGCTGATTAGTACGATTGACCGTAAAACAGTAACGTTAAAGGAGTTACCAACCCGTCGATCGTGGTCGACAAGTCGATCTTGGAAAGATTTTAAGTCGATCGCGAAGAGTTTTCAAAACCAGTGAAAGAAAAACAATATTTTTATTCATTATTATTTATTAATTTGTGTGTAGTAAATGGTGTCTAGGGGATGCGGAGGCGCACGCGCTGTTACAATTACGTAATTTTTCCCGCGCGCACCTTTGCGCTCATGCGGGCGCGTCGAGTATAAACAAGGCTTTACGCTTTAACCAGCTCAGCCACAGCCCTACAGCATAACAGCTCATATTAGCCAGCTAAACTTTTACTACCCTGTTAGAAAAAATATGTAGTTGGATAGTTTCATGTGGTTCTTCTCCCTCGCTGTATTATGGGTTTGCTATGTGGGGAGAAATGTCCTGGTTACGTTCGTGAGACAATCAGCTGATTACTATTATTATATTATATATTAAGACCCTTGATCCTCACCTGACTATGGCTTTGTAAACTTTATCCATGATGTGGTTTATAATGGACTGTGGTACAGAAACTTGGCTGACTCTGGCTATTCTCTGCTGTCTCAGACGACGATATGTTTGTTCCGTTTTAGCAACCGTAGCTTCTTCGAAAGGGAGGGGTGAGTAGTGGGCTGAGCCCTTAGTGCAACTCGCAACCGAACCGATAGATGCCACTAAAATCTACACACTGCACCTTTAAAAACATCATGTCATTATCAACTTTGGTAATTGTTTGCCAACTTTTGCCATGAATCAATCACTTAACAGTCACTTAAACCTTATCAAAAGTTGAATACATGACAATAAAATGTATACAAAGACAATAAAAATCTCACCTGCTGTGTCTTGGTGGCCATGTCACCGTACGTAACGTCCATGTTTGAATTTGTGGTATTCACCATCATATTGACAATGACCTCCGCCTGCTGGGTCATGAAACCTGAAAGGACACAGATCATTTTGATGAATCACTGACCTAGACTTTGTCAGAACATTTTAGAAACAAAAGCTATCTTACCACTTTCCTCAAGCAGTCGGACCATTGCATGAGTGTCAAAGAATAGCTTCCTATTGACAGACTTAGATATGTCTGATTTTTTCAGGTCATACTGTAGAGTTTTAACAGAGGTGCTCAATTCTGAAACAAAGACAATGGGGGACGATTAGCTTGTATAATATGTAAATCATAGAAAACTGGTCATTATCAACAGCAGTAAACGTTCTGCAAACTTAGACGTGTGGTGTGTATCACTTACAGTACAAACATCGAGAGTACATACGCACCTCTGACCAACATGCATGAACCTCTCAACAGCAGAACAGACTCCGTGCCAGACCTGCTAAATCCACTTCTGATCGCAGAGATCAGATGTCTGCTGTGTGGAGACCACATTCTGCCTGAAAATAAGCACTTTGTAGCCTATTTTTTTTTGTATTAAATCCGTGGAAAACTTTAAAATGTTGTGGGATGGCGGCGGTGCGGGACCTGATTTGACCGCATGATCTTGCTTTTCTCCTGTAACCTATTCTTCTTCTAAAATCAATACTTTGAACAAAACTTTAATTCCTGAAATAATTCAGAATAATTACATAACCGGGCCAGTAAGACACTGTTTTTTCCCGCACTGCAATAAGAAATATAAAGGTTTCCAAACGTTTCTCCTTTCTGTTTGACAGATCCGTCAACCTCTGTCAAGCTTCCTGTAACTGCGCGTAAACAATGACGTTTCACGTACACATGCTGGTTCTAAAAGCGTAAGCACGTCGTAACGTTTTACAAATGGTAAGCGAGGAGAGGTGCTTAGCAACCAGAAAATGTTTACTCAGGGGGTAAATATATAAATATTGTATGACCTGTTTTATTCTCTATTAATTACTTGCAATTATTGCTGTACCTTTACCAAAATGGGACATCTCTACAGTTTAACCCCCTGATTTATTGCGATTTTACAAGCAATATAAACATGGAAAATGCGAGAGAGAAACTGTTGAGACTGACTCTGAATATCAATCAGACTGAGTCTGATATTGTCTGACAGATCTGACAACACATATACTGGAACTAACATTCAAAAATCTAATTTATTAATATTTTTATTTTGACAAAATTAATATTCGTGAGATACTTGAAATTGAGGACATTACAATGCATGAAGGAAAACAGAAGGATTTTCAACAGTGTCGTAAAATGTCAAATGTCTTTGAAAAAGTGACTTTCAGTTTGAGGTAATTACAATATTTCAGTCCTTTTCTGTAAAAGTTACCTTTACTTTATATTGATTAACCCCTACTTGTTTGTAACTAATGACTGAGTATTAATACCAGTCATATGCTGACTAACATTTTAAAACAAAAAATGTGGCTGGTGTAGCAGCTAACAGGTTTCTAAACATTTGATTCGAACTAAATCAATAATTAAATTCCACACAAAGATGTGCATAACGTATAAAGCCTGATTATTTTAGTGATGTTTCAAGAGTAGGCTACAGTACAAACTTGCCAAGTAATGGTTACAGGATTAGGTGTTGTGTCAGTGTTGATACTGTATTATAGTCAAAAACTAAAACAGAATAAGGTTCTGGAGGTATGGCATGATGAACCAGCCAATGAACCGCCCACGACTTGAGCTACAGTAAACAGGAATTGTGTTTACACACACCAAAACCTCAAAACAGAAGTCCTGAAAGTACATATGAAATCTGATTTTACTATTTTACTGCTTTCCCAAATTCCAAAATATTCTGCATTGAAACCCAAATTAATTCATCATGCTTTCTTTTGCTATAAATGATCATACACCCAAAACTAATGGCAAAGTTTTTTGATTTGTAAAACAGAACTCACAGGCTCTGTTGAGATCAACAGTAAGAAACTGTTAAATTGTTGATAGTAAGTATACACAGGCAGTTTCATTTTTAACATTGTGCCGTGCAGACTGTTGATGTTTGGCCGATCACAACTGAAGAGACCTCAGGAAAAGAAAAAGAGATAAGACTTCAGACCAGGAACACCACACACACTGAGAGCACCACGGCAAAGATCGCCACACCGCTCAGCATCATTGCCGCGAACACCTGGCTACGACTGCAGAAGCTTTGAGCTGCCTCTTCGTCGATGGACAGCAGTGCTAGTGAGGCGCTGTCACTGCTAACAGGGTCAGCGTACTGAGGACCCAGTGCCTCCACAGTCCAGCGCAGAACGTTGACTTTCAGCTCCATGTCTTCCAGTGTGCGGTCCACCTGTGCGATCTCTTGCTCCAGCTGACTCTGCTCCTGACCCTCCACGCTGGACGTCTGGGTACCGTCACCTGCCTCCTGCAGGTCCGGCCGGCTCAAGGCCCGCGCCGCCACCTCTGTTGTCCCTCCTGTTTAAGCAATTACATGTTTATCAGACCAATAACGGGCTGTGACGGTTACACTTCATATGTTTGAGGAATGTACAGAAGTTGTTTTTCTTCAAGTCTTAGGCTAAATAATTAGTAATCAGTTTTTAAACTTCTTACAGTTATGCATGCCTACCCTGTATGCCTGTTTGCACCATGGTACTGTTATTGGCCAGGGAAAAGTGCTTGGCCATGGTGAAAACCTTGCACATGTCTGCATGTAGGAGCTCCAGACATGAGGAGAACGCTACCCACAACAGATCTGTTTCCTTCCTTTCAGTCTCTGGTAATGTTTTATCCCTCAGTCGAGCTGTCAGGTGGTTTCGGCAGGACAGCGCAAGTGTCTGGGCTCGCTCTCGTGTTTGCCGAAGATCACGCCGTAGGCTGGAGTTGTCCATGCATCCACCGACACAGGAGGCCAAGTGTCGATAACATGCCACCACCTGAGTCAGATCAGATCAACTATGTTTTGAACTTTAACTTTGGTTTAATACATCTACCTTTCTTCAATATCTAGACATGTATCTTGTATTAAAGGGGTCATATAATGCCATTTTCATACAAGTAATTTCATAATTTAATTTTTAGTAATTCCATAATTTGATTCTTTAGGGTCTAAATGAAAAGTTTGTAATATACTTTAATTAAAAATTCTCATTAGTATTGTAAGAAAACACCCATTTTATCTGGTCAAAAGCAGCTCTGTTTTCAGTACGCCATTTCAGTGCATATGCCTTTAAATGATAATGAGCTTCGCTCACTCCGCCCCTCTGTTCTGAGGGCGTTTTGACCGGTTTTGACACAACGCTCGTGGAGTGTTGCCTTGACAACAGTTGAGGGTATATTTTGGAGAGAGAATGGCAGCGGGAGTCTCCGAGGACACATCTGTGCAACCGTATCAGTTTGTATCAGTGAGTCGCACCCGGAACAAGATGACGGTCGCAAAGAAGTTCGACAATTAAGGCTCGAACAGGATGTTTCTGAATGGTTGGTTAACGTAATGTCACTTTGATCTATCTTTGTGTACTGGCAGGGTAGAGTAACTTAGTGAGATGTAGGAACGCTAACGTTATGTGTTTACTGATGTATATACTCAGTTTGACAATAACCATAACGTGTTGTTCATTATAAACGTGGGATTATGAATTATATTGAGAACGTCATATATAGAAAACATGCCGTAATGTACCCTGAGTGTAAACCTTAGCCGCATTCATTGTGAAGCGTGCAAGCGATTTGCAAAGATTAATATAAAGGTTAATAAAATTTTACACTCACTTCTTCTGGAGGTGCAGCAGGGACACGAATAGTTGGTACCGATTCTTTTTTCAGGAGCAGCTTCTTAGCAAAACCAGCTTTATACTGAGTCTGACCCTCGTTTATAAAGCAGTCTGCTGAGAAATGATTCGCGAATCGCGCAAACATGAACGCATTGACGTTGCTCGTGGGGAATATTCCCTTCGAAAACAAAACTCAGCCACTGCGTCTTCAACGGTTCGGATCTAGGAACATCAAAATGACTGTTGTGTTCGTTATTACACCCAAGAACAAAACACCACAATCGCTTAGACGCCATTCTGCTCCAGCGTATCAACAATGGCGGACTATGATGACAGCTCGCTCAGGGCGGGTCTGTGTGGAAACGCTGCTGTCAATCAACAATCGTGGGAGGGGCGTCCGACCACTGATCTACACTGTAAAAAAATTGCTGTAGTTATGCAGCTGTTTGCCAGTAACTTACTGTAGATTTAAATTGATGTATATTTACTGGCAACAGTTTGTTCAAAGTTAATTGAACATTAAACATTAACAAGTCTTTGTCTTTACAGAATAAAATTATAAAATAACAATCTAATGCAAAGCATTCTGGGAACCAGAAATCTTCTTCAACCTTTTTCTGTTTTTTTTTCCTTCAGATTTTGGTTCCCAGAATGCTTTGCATGAGGCTGTTATTTTAGTTTTATTCTGTAAAGATAAAGACTTGTTAATGTTTAATGTTCATTTAACTTTGAACAAACTGTTGCCAGTAAATAACATCAATTTAAAACTACAGTAAGTTACTGGCAAGCAGCTGCCAGTAATACTGTAATTTCTACAGATTTTTTTTACAGTGTATATAATGACATTGTCATTATAAACACCATGTCATTCTATATAGATCAGTGCGTCCGACTGTGTGACGTCACACGGTCGATTTTAAGGAGATTGAAACAAAAACACTGGATGGATTTTTATCATTATATGATGGTTGTGTACAGGCACTGCCAACATACATTTCAGTTCAATCAAATTGAAAAAGTGCATGTATCATTATATGACCCCTTTAATGATGCAATAAAGATATAAAATAAATACCTGTTTTTAAAAACGGAAAAGGTTTGATGGCACAATGGATTTCATACAGGATTACAGATCAATTATGTAACATCAGCCAAACTGCTCGGAATGAGTTATTATTAATGATAAAATACATACATCAATAATACATTTATAATACAATACCTCACTGACCAGGTTCAGACGAAATAAATACCTACATCACAGTTCTTTAGAGCACATGGCAGGTGGCTTACTGGACTAATAAACATTAGTTTATGCTGTGTTTTGGGGGATGTAAAGTGCATTTTTTTTTTTTAACTATTTACAGCCAAATTCCTAATCTACAGCATTGGCATGCATATGGAATGTTACATTTTTATCAAAATTAAATAAGAGTTGTTTATGGATATTGATCTAGGTGTTAAAGGCAGAATTCTGTCATCTACTGGTTAGAGAAAAATCGGTTGGAAATACAGTTTTAGAAAAAAAAAAGTCTAATTACCATAAACATCCAGCAGAGGCCCATAGAAATCCAATATATTTTTCTGGATGTGGCTATAACTGCTCTTATAACAGCTTTCCTGATTAAAATTTTGTGTTTATACTCTATATATTTAAACATTATACAATACATTAAATCAGTATTTTTGTCAAAGTTTAGATTTTTTATTCTGTTGTTTGAGGTCTTTTGAAATGCCACATACATTTGCAATAATGCCACATAAGTTGCCACTAAAAGACAAGAATAGATTGTAATCACATATTATTTATTTCAATAATCCAAATGTATAAAAAATAATTAACTTTAGAATAAGAAATTAATTATAAAAAAGTAAATAAAACCAACAAAAAATGCACTGAGCAGAGATCAGGAGTGAAACAAGTGAACCATGTTTTTTTAACTAAGCAAAAGTTGATTGGGGCTCATATTGACCCCAAACACTGTAAGAGGGGTAAGAAGCCCCCTATATTAATATTTCTTTTTCTTTTTTTTTAAGTGTGATTCATGTAAAATACTTTAACATCTTTAAATATATTTAATATAATTTATTCCGGTGATGCTGTGAAGGTTTTAAAAGGTTACATAAATGTTCAACTTATCAAACATCATTATAGATAGATTAAGCATTAGTATGAGTGACAAATATTATACTGATAATCTGCTTGTCATAAGACGGCTATTTCAGGATAAGCTTTGGAAACTTTTGGAATCTTGCTTTAGTTGCTGTCTATTGCCATTAGATTTACTTTATGTGTTGATTCTTAAAGCATGTAGATGAACAGAAGCTGCTACCATTGCTGACAGCAGAATAGAGTAAAGAAAACAGGTAATTCTGCTGGGCTAGTGCGCACACTGGAAATAACAGCTCCGAACGACTATTTATTGAAAGCGCAAGGTTTCGACCGTCAGGTCTTCATTAGGCACAATGGTCAGAGTACTGACACATGCCTCCACTGGCTCAAACTGAAGATAATCAAGCAGTGGAGCGTGGATCATCCCTACTCATAGAGAGAGTGCTTTTTCACCCTAAGGCTCAAGGAATACACCATCATAAGATACTTTCATGTTCAGCCTGAAAATAAGGAGAAATGAGGACAAGCACATGCTTCGGCATCTTCAATTCGAACCTCAAGAAGTTTGTCATCATGTCAACAAACAAATGATGGAAAATAAACCACAACTGATTGTCGATATATTTATCTAATTGATGTGCTTCCCTCATTCTTTCTTCTAATATTCTAGAACACTTCTTAAGGGAAATATGTAAAAAAAAAAAAATATATATATATATATATATATATATGCATGCAGGGAAAGATATGAATCTGATTTATTAATCTTTCTTTCCTGTTAGAAAAAATGTATGATTGATGCCCTGATTGTTAAAAACTCTTGGAAAAGATATCACCACAAAACTCTATGACAAGTATGGAGGTTTGTTTAGACGAATGATTCTAATCAGTTTTTGGTTCATTAAATATCAACTCACCTTGATGAGGGAGTCCACCATTGCTTTTCCTTCTTGCAGTAGCTGTGCTGAAGTTCCATCATCAGCGACCTTGTTGTTGGACAGTGGCATTGGGTTATGTTTTCTAAGGTAACAAGGGTGAATCCCTGTTCTAAAAGTTAGCGTCTGCCTTCAAACTCAACAATGCGTATACACCCTTCGTCTTAGCTGGAGTAAACTATAGTCCATATTTGAGCTGACTGTCCTGTCTGACCCTGTGACCAAAGCTTAATATATCAGTTGTCCTCCAACAAGGATAAAAATCTAAGATAGTAAAATACAAATTTCAGGTTTCCAAAAAAGAAGAAAAAACCGAGAGGCGTGGAGGATTGTGATGTCAAAGTGGAGTGTGATAATCCGAATGACTGACCCCTTTGCACTGAGGCCGTGTGGTTAAGCTCATTATTTGCTGCTGAGAGGTGCGGAGATTCTGTGGCCTGGGAATACGTCACTACCTCCTCCTGGAGCCCCCTCTTTTTCTCCCATTACTCTCTCTTTCTTCTCTCTCCTTTCTTTTTCTCTGTGTGTGCCTGAATGACAGGCCAGGCCCTGAGGGGCAGGTTGTGGTCCAGTGTTTGCTGCAGTTCTTGCATCGGTTAACCAACACATCGCTTATTTGTTACAAACCTACAAAAAAAAACTATATTTCAAATCTAAAAATTGAATCCAATCATATATTTAAATAAAACTGTATGCACGGACTAGTCAGGTAATTGTTAGTCTCCTCTGTCTCAGGTCAAATTAGATTAGGGCCATGTTAAATTAATCCCTGAAATATATCTGCTGGATTGGTCTGGTTATCCCATCTTAACCATGACTGTACAGACCATGCAGGTGCAAATCCTTTTTCGACTATCATATATGGAATATAGTTTTGGACAATTTATGAATTAATTTGACAAAAGATACAAACACAGGAACATGAGAAGCAATAGGTTTATATTGAATATGCTGTAAAATGTATTTATAAACAGACTATTTGTTTTGATATTTCTCTATTAACATCTAGTCTTAGGGTTTAAATCTCTAACTGAGAGATTATAAATCAGATTCTATTGGCATTTAACATTGGTAGTTTGGTAGTCTTGTTGGCTGTATTTTTCAGATTATGTTAAGAGCAAACAATCAGTAGATTATCAAAGTTTGATATTAAAATTAGAGTTGTAATGTCATGTTCAGTTTTAATCATGGAATAACTTACCCAGTGGACAGTTTAATTAAAATATATGTTTTACATTATCACCAAATAATGAAAATTACATGTTTAATAAGCATACATATCCTATACATTAAATCATTTGTTTTATCATTCAACATGAGGGCTAGTATTGCATGTAGAGCAGCATTTTAGTATTGTCTTTACGGTTATGAGTTAAATTTCTTTTTTTCTTGTCCATTTCACAAGTAAATTTTTTTGTACCTGTGAGACAAGGTTGTTTACATTTATTCTTTCTTTTATTTGTAAAAAAAAACAATTCAGCGCTTACACCTGTGAGGTCATAAATTGCAGTTAATTTTATTCCATGTATTGATATTCCATTTGTGATATTCTATAATACAAAGGTAATTAGTTCAACAAACATTATAGCGTCATCTCATTGGGTTTGACTGTTAAACAGGTTGTTTTCCAGTTCACATCACTTGTCTGTTATCTGAGGAGAAAATAGTTGAACAATTTTAAAACAACTTTTCACAAACAACATTCAAAAATCAATGCATTTTAGCTATTACATAATACATTAGTAAGTATGAAACATGGCATACCATTTAAGTATCTTGAGCTACATCTTAGTATTGTGTGTCGTTTTGTGGCCATTCATTCTGATGAAAAAAAAGTGAAACACTTCACTAGGGCTCTTTATAGACAAGTCTTTACACATATGACTCATTCCAGAGTAATTCCACAATTACTGCATTTAACATGAACTGGCAGAACTGCATTAACAGAACGAAAACCCAAGGTGACTCCCTTGTGACTCCATCTAGAGGCTGACAGACTGAGAGTCCTCTTTGTTTTATATATTAAAAAAATGCTTGTTAAAAAAAAAAAGCCCTTGCCCCCACTGTTAGTTCTCACAACAAACTACAAGCATGTGTAATAATAGTTAGCCTTTTGTTACCATTTACTCATCCTCATGTCGTTTCAAACTCATATGCTGTTATTTTTTTACATGTGGAATGTGGCTGTGTCAATGTAACCTTCAAACTATCTCCTTTTATGTTCCATGTAAAAAATATTGATTTGGGAATGACATGAGTTTTGAGTAAATGATGACAGTCAAAAGTCTACCTAATTTGATCAGAAAGAAATGTCGCTAAGGAAAATAATTGGATTTAAGGAGAACTTTATATCCCAAGGCTTCCGTTTAGAAAAAACTGTCTTGTGTAAAGGATAGATATACGAGTAATCTACATTTTCATTCATGAGAAATGAAGGCACTGAAGGGTACCTCTGCAAGGTTCCGCAAAATGATCCTCTCCAAAGTACTTTTGGTTTTATTTAAAAATGTATGGTTGGTCATCTGTTATGGATGGAAATCAGTACATACTGCATATTAAAAGTATGAAAAAGTATTGACATTTATTCAGAAAGCCTTTAAAGCTCTATATCTTACTGGTGAGATTTACAGTATGATAGTGGCATTGTTGCCTCAAATATAAGTCTGTTTAAAGCAAAAACACTTACCTGCTCGTATTTACTTCCATTAACAAGGACATTGCTTGAAGGACCTTGTCCTACAGGACCTTGCTGTGGATATGATTGAGGCAAGAAATGTGGTTTATTCTTTTAAACAGCAGCAGTGCTATAGCATGTAGAATGTTAAAAGTTACGATGTCTCCATCATAAATAATACAAAAGTAATTCATATTTTTAGGAATGTTCATTCTTTTGTCATTTCACACTGCATTTAGGAATACTTGTTCTTAGACACAAAAGCGCTATTGCTTGCTTTAAATTAAGACTCTTGAAGGCACCAACCAACCGTCGTATTTGGTTTGTATGATAAAAATGTGAAGTCGTTCGCAGTATCCCCATTCCTGGCTGATCTCTGTGTAAAATTATAGGATTATTAGTAGTATTAATAGTTAGTAGCCTACTAATAACAGTGATTAGAGGAAAAAAAGAATATATAATAGATATACATTCTGATGGCATTTGACCCCTTAACCTCAATAAAAGTTAATCAAGATATAGGCTAATTGAACAGGCTAAATAATATGTATCTTACTGGTCAGTGACTATTTATTTTCATCGTCAAATCATTTTTAAAATACATAAATCTCAGAAAAGAAAGACATACACTCTAGTAACTTTTTGAATAACTGCAAAAATGATGTTTTTAGGAGTGTCTGATTAATGGTATTAATATGTACATACCTTATGTGCTTCAAGTGTTACCAAACAGGCACACAGAACACAGATGTAAACTTCTGTTTTCATTCTCAGTGAGTTGGAGGTTTTGTAGCTGAAATGTCAGCTTTAGAGAAGTTTAGAAGGGTTTGTTTTATATGTCAGACCTTGGGTATACTTTTAACCAGGGAGGAACAAGCTGACGGTCATTCAACTGCACAGCTTCCCAATCAAACTGCTAGAAGTCAACAATCAGGGAAGGGGGGTTCAGGGTTGCGTCTTACTGCCTGGTTTGGTTCAATAGCTTTTTTTGACTCTCAAAATGTAAATACAAGAATTTACTTTCTAAACACCACCGAAATGCGTTTGCAGCTTTGAAATATCCATGAATGTTCCAGTTAATGTCGCAGGGCCATGCTACGGGCCTAATATCGACCATACTAAGCCTACAGGCTTTAACACGCCCGTAATATTCTTACTGAAAGTAACTTTTAAACTTTGTTAGTTTCCTTTTGATGTGAGGAGCTTTGCAAATGATTGTTATAGGGTCCGGCAGAGGTGGTCAAACTAGAGGTAGGCAGGGACGGACTGGGACCAAAAAACGGCCCTGGACCTTGACTAGGCCCGGCCCAAAGCAATCGGCGCGAGGAAACTCGACAACAACAACAACGCCTACCGCGTGGCATGAGTGTCATAAGACTTTAATTGTGGCTCATGATCCTATACCATCCAAATTATAGCTAACAACATATTATACAATCTATTCCATGCTGTCTTAAAATTAATTTATTACTTAATAATCTTAATTAATTTATGCAGTAATAAATCTTAGCTACTGCACAAATAATAATACCACATCTAAATGAAAATAGGCAATACCATTACAAATGTAACTTCTGTATTTAAAATCTTCAAAGTTTGTAAGCATCAACTGTAATGTTAACAACATTTTTAAAAGTAAAAGCACAACATATTTCTTAATATTAGCTACTGCATGTGGCATTTTACAGCTAAAATGTTGAAGTTTAGCTGTTTTAACTACTGTAATCATTAAAAATGTAGCAAGCTGAATATCACTTCGTAACATCATCAATAGCAAGTAACTTGCAAAGTAATAATTTCTGATTAATTTGGTTCGGGAGTAGTAGAGATAAAAGCCCGCCCACACTGACAATTGATTGGTTGGGTCCTTACATGCGCTTCGTGAGGCACACGCGCACACTAGCACACACACGCAAGGTCTCTAGCTCGCTCCCTCTCTTTGGCATGCGCGCGCTACGCATGCGCGCTCTTGCTCGCACTAGATTCCGGGAGATTTTAACTAATTTGGGATGTCTGCTGACTGCGTGTGTGGTGTGTGTTGGGCCGGCCCGCCGGCCGTCCTGGAGTACCGGCCGTTCTGTGATTCTCCAGATCACACAGATGGCCAGTCCGCCCCTGGAGGTAGGCCTTTGTGTTTATTATGAAAAAAGAAATAACATACTTGGATTTAATGAGTTTATCTCTAATGGTTCCGTTCACATAGCCTAGCCACGGGCTTTCCAGGAATGCGGTTATTATGAGTCCTGACAATATAGGGGTGCGAATTCGGTTAGAATGCGCGTTGTTACTCCCGCAAATAACCGAACTGTGTGTGATTGTAACCGGAGACAAGGACTTTGTTGTAACCACGATGACTCAGATACAGGTTTAATAAAGGTAACGTTAACCAGAAGTGCTGCGCAGCTCATAGTGCGAAGCTCGAGGCATTGTCATGACAACGGCATCAACACTAACTAACAGCAATTTCCAACAACAGCTAGGCTATTATGTGTTGTGCTATCGCACAGGATACACAGGTGAGTTTCGAGAGGACAAAGTTTACTCTTGATTCAAGATTTGATATTCAAAACGCGCTCTTATGTCATATGATGGCCTATTATTCAGACTTATTTGTCGTGCTGTAGGCCTATGTGAGAGATAACGTTACTCTACATTGCAGGAATCATGAGTTCGCAGGGCTCTCCAGTAAAGGTGTATATTCGCATCCGACCCACAGCCAATTTTGCGCACAAGCTTATTGAATGCCTACCTGACCAGCAGGTAACCTTATGCAATATGTGCTAACATTTATCTTTTGTCTAAACGGTCTTAATTGTTAAATGAACTAATCTGTGAAGTTGGTCTTGTATTGCTTCTTACAGCCTTCTGTTTTTTTTTATTGTTTTAACGAAATACAAAACATGTCAAAATAAACACAAAACATAATACAATTCCAACAAATCTAAATAGCTGCAAAAACATAACTACTATTAAAAATTATTTAAAAAAGCAAAGAAGAGAGACAAATATTAGTGGCATAAACTTTTTGTTATGCATACGTTTTAAGTATTAACAATAAGAGGATCTTTAAAAAAAAAATCTGCATTTTTGTATGAAAACCACAATATTAACTAAAATAATAATAATAATAATAAGGCATTTTTTTTTATAGTTTTGAAGTCAAAGTCAGGTACTTCATTTGTCAAATTTAGCCAAACATGAAGGTCGTTAAATGTACATAAAATACCACTCAAATATGTTTTTAAAACATAATTATTACAACTTTCCTCCAGAAATGTAATACCAGAAATGATTAAATTACTTTTTGGGATCACAGGTGAATAACACAATGCACCTTTAACCAACTGAGCCAAACCCACAGGAAACGTGCCCCACATAAAACAGATTGAATGATGCTAATGTTTAAGAATGCTTACACCTGTCCCTCTCTTTATCTCCGAGACTTTGAGAGTATGGTCCAAGAAAGGAAAGAGGAACAATCATCAGAGCTCATGGTTATTTCAGCTGAATGGAGTGCTGCACAATGCGTCACAAGAGGACATCTATGATGGTGTAGCCCGGAGTGTAGTGCTGGGAACCTTTGGGGGCTACAATGGTTGGTCATTCAAATGCATACATATAATATCTGAAATCACAAACATTTACAGAGGCAGTTTCTACTTTGAAATAAAATGTTTAGGAAAGCCATTTGTGTGTTTAGGTACAATAATGTGCTTTGGGCAAACTGGAGCGGGGAAAACATACACTATGACAGGTGCCGCAGAGACTTACAAACAGAGAGGCATCATTCCTCGAGCCCTACAGGAGGTGATCGAGACCCATGAAAAAAGAAGCACGTAGTCAATGTTTCAGCTCTTATGGCTAATAAACCATCTCTTAATTCCTCAGGTTTTCCAGGAGGTGGTGGATCGTGTAGATCATACATTCTCTGTTCACCTTTCTTTTCTGGAAATCTATAATGAGACAATAGTAGACTTGCTCTCCAGCTTAAAGCATGGAAAAGGTTCACATAGTGGAGTCTTAACTGTGGTAGAAGAACCAGGAGGTGGAGTCTCAGTCAAAGGATTGTCTTTACATCTGGTTCACAATGAAGAGGAGGCTCTTAACCTGCTTTTTGAGGTAAGAAGTAAAGTCACGAGGTCATTGATCAGCTTATTAAAAAAAACATGAATGCATAATTATTTCAGCAAAAGGTCTATTTCCAGTAAACAGAATTGTTATCAGGTTGTGTTTGCCCTGTTAAGGGCAAAGGTTTGTTCTTATCTTTCATCATAGCTGTTGACAAATTGGCTAATGATAAACAATACGATATAACCGCCACCAGAGAATCTCCAGTAAAGACCTATTACTCATGAAAGAATGACAAAAACATTAATGTTTGCCCACATGGGCAAAAGCAACTGCTACAGCACATTCAGAATTGGATTTTCATATTTTCGTTACAGATTTAGACGAAATAGGCACATCTGTGATAAATAACACTGATCTCACTGCGCTGACAGGGGGAGATGAACAGAATTATTGGAGAACATGCCCTTAATAAACATTCCTCCAGGTCTCACTGCATATTTACCGTCCACATTGAGGTAAGTGCCTGGAATATACTGAACACAAGATAAAAAAATTGAGTAAACTGGCCTTTTTACATATGGTGGTATTTTTTGCATATGTGGTTATGTGTGGCATAGTCTCGCTCTCGCACACTGTCAGAAGCAAAATACATCACCTCTAAACTGAACCTGGTGGACCTGGCGGGATCTGAGAGACTTAGCAAAACTGGGGTCAGTTAATTTCTCTTCTCATCATTACAGTTCGTGCCTCAGTTTAGTGTGGAGCTAGCAGTGCACTGTTGAAAATTTCAGCATTGTTTGCACTAATCTAATGTGTTAATCGTGGCAAGCTCCTCAAATGCATACAGTTTCCAATTTTGTCACTCTCTACTTTTTGTCTTTTACTCCAGTCAGAGGGTCAAGTCCAAATGGAGGCAATGTATATCAACAAGTCCCTTTCTTTCCTGGAGCAGGTCATCTTGGCTCTTGCTGACAGTCGTAGGGAACATGTTCCCTTTAGACAGTGCAAACTTACCCATGCTCTCAAAGACTCACTTGGTTAGTGTGCTAAACAATTATCACAAGTTATCCCAAAGAAGTTTACCAACAAACCAACATTTGTCATTATAATTTGAGATAGCTTTAAGCATTCAGCCACAGAACCTCAGCATGTAAACATTCATTTTGAACATTGGGAAAATCTTCATTTATGAAAAAACTAATGTAATCTTGAAAGGGACATATGTAAGCTAATGATTTATCTCTGGCTCAACTGTACCTACACAGGAGGAAACTGTAACACAGTGCTTGTGGCAAACATATATGGTGAAGGGGCACAAATTGAAGAGACGGTGAGATGTTTTTATTATAAATCCATCGAGACATGTCTGTTAAGTCTAGAAAACCCACACAGCTTCTTTGTTTTTTTGTTTGTTCTTTTGGCAGCTTTCAACTCTTCGCTTTGCCACCAGAATGAAATGTGTGAAGACAAAGCCATTAATCAATGAACATGTCGACCCAGTGGTAAGATTTTGTTCATGTATATTACAAAGCTAATACTCTAAATCCTCTTATAATAATATATCTAAAAAAGATTCATCAGCACATTCAACTAATGTGTCACAGTTTAGTGCAGAAAATCCTTTCATATGATGGTTAAAACCATGTGAATGTTTATCAAGCTTCAGGTGCAAAGACTAGAGAAAGAAATCCAGTTTCTTAAGGAGGAGCTGTCTATGTGTAACAAACTGGTGAGTACAAACACGTGCACATTCCGAATCTGTGCCTTTTACACAAAACACAATTACCACATCAACAAATGAACGCCGCATTCTGGTTTCCCAAGCTTCGACTTTGGGCTACATGGTTATTTTAATGTCCTCCTTACTCATAGACTAATCGGGTTTCTAATGAGATCCTGTCAGAAACCCAGGTGGAGGAAGTGAGGAGTCAGGTGCAGAGATACCTGTCTGGATCACTGGTTGAGATTCCGGTAAACACCATAGTTTATACATCAGTGCTTCAAATATGTAAGTTTACCTTTTCTTGAATTAATCTCATTTTTGTCAGAACTGAATAAACGATTTAATGTTTCAGATTGTAAGCATTACACAAATCCAAGAGGTGTTTGCCCAGTTCAAAAAAGTGGTGTTGTAAGTACAGTTACCTCTTCATCAACAATTGAACATATTTATAATGGAGTTCAATACAATTATGTTTGAATGTATTTATGTATTAAATAGGGAGCAGCAAACAAAATTGCGAGAGCAACTCTGTCCGAGAAATGCTCGCGTAGAGAAAGCCATGAACACAACACCATTTACTGTTGCAGAGGTTAGTGCTATACAGATATTCAGTAGACAACAATACTTCAGTAAGAACAGAAAAGTTCAGAAAAGGATGTCACATGCCTCATGACCTTTGCTACAGGCGCAGGGGTCTATTTGTGCTGTTGGAAAGGTGGAGAGCTGTGGATATGGCCTAGGTTTAGCTAAATCTTCACAGAGACATCAACGAGAAGTGTCACCTAAACCAAGTAAAGCAAGAAAAGACAAACAGATCAGCAGGTGACATCTTATTTCCCTAATGTTTGATGCCTGATGTGACAAATGTGAGCAAATAACTAAGCATCCATGTTTAGATTTAGAGTCTTGTTATGGCTGGAATACACTGCACAACTTTTTTAAATCTGAACAGAATTATTAGGAGACATGCAGGGACTAAGCATCATACACTTGCCGACTTTATAAATGGTTACAGAGGAAAAACTAGGCATGATTGAGGATCACACACTACCAGGACACAATAAACTCACACAGAAACACATGATTTTCTGTGAAATCTGTCAACTCCAACTGCTCAAAATCTGCAGACTGCGCGGACTTTCAGCAACTACCTTTAGTCAGCTCTTTTCTTTGTCAATAGACATCTAGACATGATGAAAGCTTTGTGATGGAAGACAGTATAATATCTTTGAGTCAGTCTACCCAGTGACATTTTTCTAGGAATGCAGATTTTGGTATTTAATTTGATAAAAATGAAACGACAAAAATAACACATGACAATCGTATATGACAAATTTGTCATTCTAAAAATAATTTACACTTAAAGGCCATTACAGTACACCATGGTCAAGAAATAATCCCTGACTCCATATGTATGTATATTTGTAATAACCAAAACCTCACCATAAACTACAAGAGCATTTGGACTTAAGAGAAACTAACCAAATTTAGAAAATGGACTACCAGGCTGTAAATTGTGCTTCAAATCTGATCTTGAACAGAAAGGAAGGAGCATTGAGCCAGTGGCCTGTGGAAAACACAACTGTAGAAGCCGCACAGCCTCTAAACATGAGTGAATCTGACATGACCACACAAGAGCCCCAACGACAAGATCCAGAACAACAACACAGAACTGAGTAAGTTCCTTACTTGCATCAGCAGCACCTACAGTATAAGCTTGAGGAGACCTCTGCTGACAGGTACCAAGTACCGCAGTTACTAATAAATGTGAACGTCAGCTTACATTAATATTAAAATTAATTTCTCAGCTCTCCTCCGCCCAAAGCGGAGGCATTTGAAGATTTCAAAGCACAACGGGGAAGTGAGATTAACCGCATACTAAAAGAGAACAAGGCTGTGCTGTTGGACCGCACGTCCCAATTACGCACACTCACTGATGTCATCAATGTGACTAAACGGGATCTTGACAATATTACATATGAACTACAACAGTTCAGAGAGCGAAGACAAAGCCAGGGTGAGCATTACATGATGTAAAAATGAGCTCCTTTCTAAATGAGATGTAGTAATCATATGAAGCTGAAGCCATTGGTTTTATAGGTCAGTTTGTGAGTGCGGAGGGGGAGCCTGTGATGGAAGAGGCTGAACTGTCTCTATTGATGCAGCTAAAAGAGCTGAAGAACCGTTATAGACAAGCCTATGAGGACCTCAGATGCACAAAGACAGAAGTCAGCTACTGTCAGCACCTGGTGAATCAGTGCCGCACACGGCTGCTAACAGGTACTTCCATTAGTTCTCTACACAACATGTAGTTCCTCGTTTCCAGGCTTCTCTATTTGTGGTTTGAATTTCAAAACCTCCACCAATTCAGATAGCTAGTTGTAATCTATGATTGTCAACATTTTGTGACAAAAATGTATCTAAATTTACTTCCCTGACCTATCCAAATGTTTTCATAGTTGTACTTACCACACCTCACTTATGTTCATCCTTCTCTAAAATCAGTTTTGCGCTTTTGTTTTGTGCTTGCCAGAGTTTGAGAGCTGGTACAATGAGTCTTTCCTGTTGCCGGATGAAGTGCTGTCCGTCTTAGAGGCTGGACCAGTTAGGCCAGGTCACATACCTGTGGACAAAGCTTTAGCTCTGGTCAGTAAGAGCCACACATATACTCATGAAGACCATGACGCTTGAGACCTGAGTGTTAAGGAGTGAACATTTTTTTTTTTTTTTTTTGGAATACATTTTATTCAGAGATGCAATAAATTTATCAAAGGAGATTTACATTGTTACAAAAGATTTAGTTTTCAAATAAATGTTCTTTTAAACTTTATATTAATCAAAAGTATTGCAGTTTCCACAAAAATATTAAGCAGCACAACTGTTTTCAACATTGATAATGACATTAAATGTTTCTTGAGCAGCAAATCAGCATATTCGAATTATTTCTGAAGGACACTGAAGCCTGGAGTAATGATGCTGAAAATTCTATTTAAAAAAATATTCAAACAGAAAACAGTTTTTTAAATAGTAAAAATATTTCACAACATTGTTTTACTGTATATTTTTGATTATATAAATACAGCCTTGGTGAGCAGAGACTAAACATCTAAAAAACACACACAGACAAAAAAACAACAGACCCCAAACATTTAAATGGTAATAGATATATTAAATGACACTACTCATTTTGATATGATTACATAAAATATGTATATTTTCTAAAAACTGTTAGCACATGCTTCCTAGTAATTCTTAAAACATTGCGGTTTTAACGAAGATGTGATTTTAATTTCTAAGATCTTAAGATTTTTTATTTTAAGATTAATATTTTAAGATCTCTTGCTTCACTGTAGCACCTGAAACATCTCATGATTTTAAATATTTGTGGTACATGATGTAATGAGTAGAAAAAAAAGCTTGACAATGTGTGAGACTCGTTCAAGTGTGACCGTGTCAGATGTTGTATTACTGGACAGATGGAGGATGATGAAGAGCATTGTGATGCTCCCTGTCATAAGCTGCAGGCAGACAGTTCCAGTGCTGTGTCATTTTATAATGCCTACAACAGGACTCTACAGAGGGTAAGACACACTTACACCTGATACTAGCTTTCATTACTCAGCACTCAAATAATACTGAATGCAATGCCAAATGTATGCAACAATATAATTTGCATATATAAAAAGATCATCTTGTCTTTACAGAGGGGAAGCAGACAGGCTTCTCAGAGTCCAGACTCAGTGAGAGGCAGCAGGAGTAAGATAAAACTCTGTTCTATTCTCTCAATCATCCGATGAAGGCGTCTGTACGCTCAGTCTCACTCTTTACACTTTCTGAAGCATGTTTCCATGGATGTTAGAAATTGGTAGAACACGAAAACACCTGCTATCTGAAAGCTGCTTGTGCTGTATAATGTGCGAATCTGTATTGTTCAATCACAAAGACAATCTGTCTATAAAATGTTTGGATCACTTTTCAGGTTGAATGTGTAATGCGTATTTTTGACTGTACATTGTTATTGGTATGTACTTGTTACACTTGACAGTATATTTCTCCACTTTAAGAAAACAGCAGTTTGCGCTAATCAGAGGCAAAAACAACCTCAGTACATCAGGTTGTTAAATGAAAAGTAAACTTTATTATTCCTGAACCACAAAATAGACTTCTTTGGTTGTACAAATTCACTAGTTACAGTCCTGAATGAGCTCTATTCCCAGACCTTTTGTCCCACCCCCTTTAGCAAAAAACAAACAAACAAAAAACAATCCTCCCCACCAAGACAGGAAAACAATAAGAGCTCAAACTCGTTTGCTCCGAAAAAGTAAAAATGTAGTGAATCCCATTATCTCATTGGTTACAGAAAACCAACTTCTCTTTTTTTCTCTCAAACTACATAAAAAATAAATCAATGATGAGCAATCCCAAACTGTTATTAACCAAAACTGAATTTCAGTCAATGAGAGCAACACAAAAGCTAAGATTAGTAAAAAGAAAAAAAAATATTATTTCATATGTTTAACAGGTTCATTGGGACACAGTGTTGATGGCAGCCAGGGTGGTGAACAACTGATTTGAGAACAGTGAAATAAAACATGTTTATTTAAAGGAATAATAAAAGTATATCGTCTTAGTCCTCACACAGGATTGACACTAAAATTGCAATAAGCAATAAACCAATATACACACAGGGACTCAGTCAGTCAAGACCCTGGTAGAATCATCTACACCCTCCAGACTTTAGTTTGGTCTTGGGGCAGAAAGGCTCAGATTCAACTCTGATTTTTGCTGCTTTTTTTTTTTTTTAAAGCATTTATACATTATTCACAAAATGAGCTTTTTAGTGGCTTTATAAGTTCAACTAATTAAAATGTAGATTAGAAAACACCTACTACCTTCACACACCTGTCAGAGTAAGAGAAAGAAAAGATTTGTAGATGTTAATAGAGACCAACTGTTCTCAGATGATTTGATTGCCTCCTCGCAGTCCCAAAATGGTACCAAATGTTTATGGAGAGTTGAGTTTTGTCAGTGTGAAATTCTCCACTCTGGTCACTCAGTGTAGCAAAGGGAATGATTCAATTTATAGATATACAACATGGCCCAGAACAAGGAGTAGAAAAAATGGAGAACGCATTTTAGGTGATTTAGATCACCAAAGGAACAAAAAAAAGTCTTAGGAAATCATTATCCACTTCATTTTACTCTCCTAGTCCAGTCAAGGAAGACTAGAGATTTAAAAGGTTTCGAATGACGCTACTCAATATAGTAGGTCAGTCTTTATGATATGGCATGATCATACACATTCTAGAACAGATCTTTGAATTAGGTCAGACGCAACCTTTCAAAAATATTACATTCATTTGCATCACCTTAAAAGAGAATTCTGTTTTGAAACTGATATGGATATAAAATGGAAATAAAGCTTTATGCCAAGGCCTCGTTTTCAATCTTAAAATGTTGCGTGCAAGAAAATGTATACCAATCCCAAAACTCATCACAAAAGAACAAGTAATCAGCTTATACACATGTCAAAAAGCCTCAATTTGTTCCTCTATTGTACTGGATTCCCATAGATTAAAAACAGTATATTACATTAATAAATTACATTTAAAAGGAATAAAAGCATTTTTCTTTCTGATAGTGAATTAAAACAACAAAAGTGAAATTCTGGCTTACATGGTCAGTGAAGGTAGCAGTATGTTGTCTGCAAACTGAATGTCCCAAAACATGAACACGGATACATTTAAAATCCCCTTTTCTGCCTTTCCACATTTCACCCAGAACATTCTCTAGAGAATGTTTTCAAAGTGTTTAGAAAACCCCACAGCATTTCTTAAAACAATTCTGCTTCTAAAATGGTGACAGACGGAAACAGAAAAATTGAGTACAATGGGTAAATGAATCAGCCATCCTCTGGACCTTTCATAGCAAGACTAGACAAGAGAAGCCCATCAGCTCACCTCCCAACCTGTGTTGTCGGCACCGAAATAAGAGTGGTTTAATATCTGTGTACATCTTTTAGTATGAGATGATGATCACTATGTGTGTTTTATCTTCACAGTTCAGATGCATTAGTGTGTGAGTGTACGGTTACGTGGGCACAGGAGCCTCCAGGCTGCGGCGGCCCTGTCGTAGTTTGCGCTTGTTACTGTAGAGAGCCATCTCCTCTAGAGCAGATGTGGTGGCCACGGGAACTTCTGGATCTACAACAGAAAAAATGACTTGAGGAAGTCTTTAACGCTGCACATGTAAAGCGCACCTTCAACCACTGAAAATAAGAAATTTGCCATCTCCGAATTGACAAATGACAGCTTTTATAACAATAACATTGATGCCGCCTTTTATTTACACTTCCAAACCATCCCATTATCTTTAAGCCCCATACCATCCGATTTCAGTTCTAAACCCCCAAACTCCCGCAAAGCAGTGATTCAGGAGAGCCATTCGATGATGCATAAGCTGAAAGGCGGAGCTGCACACCATGCGGAAAAAACCCCTGCAGAGCACTGATGACATTTGGGTGCCTTATCAAGACACTGGAATTGAGGTTAGAAGCACACAGATAAAAATATATAAGTGTACTCTACAGCATATGAAACTCTTGATTATGAAATTAACACCCATTTTAATGAATCTTGCAGTGAAAGATCTGTTAGATGTACAAACAACAGGTTCACCAATTTTTCAAAATGTAATAAAACATGCAAGCTGCAAAAAAATAAAATAAAAAAATAATATAATTAGGGCCCGAGCACCGATGGTGAAAGGACCCTCTCGGAATTGCTCCGTTTGTTACACATTAGTATTTTACCGCAGCAGAGAGACTTCGGAATATTGCAGGGTTGTGTTATGCACAACAGGGATGCACAATATATCAGAACTATAACGGTTATTGGTCGATATTAAAGATTTTTTTTAAAGAATTTAATCTTATTACTCAGCTCTCTGGACTACTTGATTCTGACTTGTCAGATGTGACATTCCACATGATGATATTTCCTAATAATGGCCGTCGTCAATAGCAAAACTATAACAGAGAGCTTATATTGCTCTCTCTCTTTCATTAAAACTTAGCTGGTAACATCTTGCATCTTACTTGTCGACTATTGAAAATGAAATTGGAGCACATTAGTATTAAAATACTGTAATATTGTTGAAGAGTTCGTATTGTTGCAAGAATGATTGTTTTGTACTATAATGGATTGTAAGATAATAAACAGGTACGATTTTTTCATATCAAATCAATATTTATGGCCACGTCACCACTTGTTACACAGCTTTTCACCAAATAAGTAATATGACTGTTATACCTTAAATGTTTTTTTTTTTTTTTACTTGCTGGTTCATCTAAGCTCAAAGCCACATGCAAGGAACTCTTTTTCTTTGTGGAAGCTTTACAAGTAAGAAAATAAAATATTTAAACTCAAATCTATATTTTGCATCCAATTATTTACTCATGTGGCAAGCAGCTGTGTAATAAGTGGAATAATGTACATCTAGCTAGTTATGGCAAAAATTATTTAGCAAAAACAACCAAGTTAGATGTACATTATTCCTGACATGTTGTTTGATATTGGAAATTTTATAGTGCCTGCATTTTTTCCGTTTTTACATTAAACCGCTCATTTAAGAACTGCAATAACTGTTAAATGTATTCTTAAGAACATCTCAATTTCATACTGTACAATTATTGTACTTGTAGCATTTTAAACTATAGAATATGGACCACTGATCGGTTTTCAGCCAAAAAATCAATAAAAAATCAGCTAAGTAGTTATGTTGACCACTGCTGTTGCACACTACGTCAAACAGAAGGTAGCTGTTCAAATCTTCATCTATTATAAGACTTATGTTACTGTTTTGGCAAACTACAGCATGTGGCATTACATTCAGATTGCTAGAATTCGCATGCAGTTCATGTCGTCAGGTTGTGGTTCAGACACACCTATTTTGAAAAATTGGTAGAACTCTTAATCAAGTAACCTTGATTCTTCAAAAACAGGTTAAGGAATTAAAGCTCACCTGAACCTTGCTAATTTTGAAGAAATTGCAGATTATCCACCTTTTTCCTAACAAGTCTACCGCGTTTTAGATTATGAAAGGCACTTCCAGTTTGGGGAAGTTCCACTCAAAAATACGGAAATATATAATTTCAAATCATAAGGTTGCCCTATAAATAATGCTTATTTGTCAGTTTGACTGAATGAGCTGTAAAATTTCCTTTGTGTGCTATTTTCAGACTTCAGGAGAATAACGCAACACTTGGAATTTTAATGTGACATGGTATAACGAGAATATGTACGGAAAGAGCTCTTTTCAGTCGCTGCATTCTTTTCCTCCTGATTACATTTTTTTCTTTGTATTCTGCTGTAACAGGATGAAAAAAGACAACATACTGGTCATTTGTGGTCTGCTGTCCCGATTTAATTTACCATATATCCCATGAATAATTCACTGGAATGCACTAAGAATCTCTTGTTTTTCTCCAAATCCTCAAGTCTCTAGCCATGTTTCCATCCACTTGTCAATCGAATTATCTGAAGTTCGGTAAAAAACCTCATGCGAATAAAGCTGGTGAAAGTGTGTTTCCATCAAACGGCTTTAAAGCGGATAAAAACCTGTGCGTAATGACGTCACATGCTGTTTTGCGATCAAATTGGTATATCGAATTGATTTGAGACATGTTAAGGTGTTTCCATTCATTTTCTCACCGAATTGCACAACATTCAAGCCAACATTTGCGAACAAAGTTTTACTAGGCAAAATGGATTGCACCATAATAACGTTTCCATCCGCATTTATCGCATAAGCCGTATATCGATCAAGATAAAATCCGATGAGACCGATCGTATTTCATTTGAGTCGATATTCATGAAATTCAATCGAATTTTACTGTTTCCATAAGGCATTTTTCATTCAATAGCACTTAATGCGGATAAAAACGTGTGGATGGAAACATAGCTTCTTTCCAGGTTTGTTTTCATACGGATGCTTTAAAATGTGGATGCACACGAATGCTTTTCACTTTTTATCCCTATTAGCAGTGTGTACTGTAACGTTTCTAAAGCAGGTAAATACAAGATTTATTATCAATCAAAATGATAGAAATCATTTTGAAATATCACGCAATGCTCCTACTGTGATATTTAACACTTTCGTAATATTGCTGCGGAAAATCAAACTTTTGGGGTTATTCCTTGTCTGTTGTAGTAATTTGTTACAACTTTTAAATTTCCTTATAATGTTCGATGGTTGAGGGGTGAGTAGAAAAATGTAATCTCATGGTACCCAGTTTTTGAAAAAGCGTTCATAGACCGAACCTTTCGCTGATTTGTTTACAGTTTAATGGAAGTTACTCCCATAATTCAAGCAAATCATGGGGCTTAGAAAAAAGGTGGATAAGTTTAGCCCATAAACAAGTGCAGTACAGCAGGCTTCTTATCAAAAACCAATGCATATGCACACACACACACACTCACACACAAACAGATCTCCTACCAATATTAGAAGAGCATTTATCCAAGGAAGTCACCTGTGTCAAGGGAACAATAACTGTAAGCCAAGTACTAGTGAACACAAAGATACCCAGTAGACTGTATTCACTCTGAGGATCTTACCTGGGTTACTGGAGGCATCATCCATGAAGCGCACGTCGTCACTTGCACCAGGGGACTGCAAGAGAGAGACAGTGTAAGAGGAGGAAACGGAGTTCAGTAAGAATTCAACAGCTCATCTTTTCTTTCCTACCCAAAAGACAAATACCAGAGTAAAACTTTCAGGTGTCTCCCACGAATAGCTCTTTTTGGCTGAATTTAAAAAATGCTAGGTGTAAATATTCAGTCTAAAAAGACAAATGTAAATGACAAGATGAGGTATTTAGAACGGCACAGCGGTCGGTTGGATCAACAGACTCTAGACATCCGAGCCACAGAGCTGTTCTGGGAGACGCCGCTTAACCTTCACCTGATCAGAAAGCACTTCTGTAGGGGAGCTGCTGCTTCAAAACTGAGGTTTAAACAGCTGCGGACAGACTTACTGAGGGACATCTATATTAAAATAAGGTCCATAAGGCCTGCAAACTTCTCATGCTCCTCTGTTGAAGATCCAATTCGATTAAAGGATCCAATTGTTAAAGGATTGGCCTAATGCTGAAAATTTCCCCAAATCAAGCATTTCAAGGATATTGGAGAGACCATTTCAGGGCAGATAATTTTAAGAATTGAAAGAAAACGTATAACATACTAAGCTCTGCTTTTCAGAGTCTGCTTAAAACTTCACACAACAGTCCCTCCAAAATCTCACAACACAGGCATGCTGAACAAACCTTCACCCCCACCAAAAACACGTTGCCAATCAGTTTTTTTCACACCCCCCCGCCCCCCGAATAACCCAGAGAACTATATTAAATTATCCCAGTCAGGGTGAAGGTGCTTCTTCACACAGTAACTCACATAAACACAACATAGTAAACACTCATATCATGGCAGTCTCAAAAGGCCACCAAATAGCATTTAAGGATTTATCAGGCTTCCTGCATTTGGCTTTGCTTGAATCCAGAGTGCAGTAAATTAGGATCGACTAGAGGCATTTTGAGTGGCCTGTTTTTACATAATCCAACAAAACAAATGTATCTAGGCTTTAAAGGCAACTTTAAAAGGGAACAACTTACACTACAAAAGTTCAAATGTTTGAGGTCAGTAAGATTCTTAAAGTTTGTGAAATAAGTCTCTTATGCTCCCTAAGGCTGCGTTATTTGATCAAAAATACAGTAAAAACAGTAATATGAAAAAAAAATGTCAGCCGCCATTACTCCAGTCTTCAGTGTCTCTTGTTAAGAACAGCATTTTATTTTGTATCATATTTAAAATGAAAAACGTAAGATTCTTGAGATGCAGTCACTTTTGGTCAATTTAATGTGGCCTCGCTGAATAAAAGTATTGATTTCTTAAAAACAACTTGCCACAATCTTTTAAATATTAATGTATGTTTGTAATGTATATCCTTGTAAGCTTGTGAAATGTGTGTAATTTATCCTAAAATGGAAAATCACTTTTATACACACTTCTAAAGCTTCTAAAAATGGCAGACACTTAATAACTAGTAACATTTATGACAAAATAATGGCATTGTGTGGTTGGAGAGAACGAGAGACAAAACTTTGAGAAAAATCAAAAAGCAAGTTATAAAGTTTTGGCTGCATATCTGAGAGGGAAAAAACAGCAGGAACTGTTTGAGAATAAAAATGAGATAATATAAAAACATTACAAAAAACCTTTATTACAAAAAATATTTAGAAAATAAAAATAAAATTCTTAGACGTATATATAAACTCTTGATATTACTATTGTTATCTGCCACTCTGGTTAAAAGCTCCATTCAACGACACCATGAGTTAGAGTGACTGACTTCAGTTGCCTGATTATACAGACACTATTTGGGGTCTGCTTTTGTCTGCACAGGACAATTTGAGGGCCAAAAACATGACATTGTGAATTAGTCTAAAGACACACTGTTCCAGCTTAACTTGTCAAGTAAATAATACAAAAACTTGTGCTCCACCAAACCAATCAAATTTGAAAACAAAAAAACAAAAACCTGCTTAGCAAATCAAAGCATTATTTATCCCTTTCAAAGATCCAATAAAGACGATCCAGATTCAGCAGACCTAAATCAGCAATATGTTGTCAACACCATAAATGTGTTAGCTGCATCTTCATACAAAAATAAATGCATCATTCATTCGTTATTGCTTCATTCATTACTTAATTTCAATTTAGTGGCACCAATTTAGACACCAGTTTGACAGATTGTCAGTCTCGCAGATTTGGTGGTCTTTTGGTCCAGTACCAGAGGAAGAGTATTGGAACATTAACTTCACCCCACATGCCCAATTTCCCTTCAAACAAAGATCCCAAAACACCAAGAAACACGACGTTCCATTGTTCCCATGACACCCTGCATCCCCGGTGGAACTGTCTCTCCCAGTGACATCACATGGCAGAGCCACATTCATCTCTGTTGAGAAAGAGTGCGCAGGGCCGCACACAGAGTGGAGGGAGGGAGAGGACAATGCAATGCTGTTTTCCTTTTTTAGTGCATTAGTATGTTATCCCATGTTTTGGATTAACGCAAAGCCCACGGACCAATCTGTAAGCCCCGCCTCTACGCTACATCTGCATAACCAGAAGAGAAGCACATGGTATTGACAATGTAAGTAGATTAAGAACAGGATGAGTTTAAGCAGTGGAAATGGTCCTTAGAGCCGAAAACTAAACCCAAATTTATTCTGACAACTAAGATCCAGAATGATGCTTAAAGCTGCAGTAACACGAATGACCATGCTGCTCACGCTGGCGAGTAGAGGGCCTGAATAGTTATTAATAGTTTTGAACTAGTTGTCAGAAGGGCCAGGGAGAGGAGGAGCAGGGGAAGCAGGGAAAGCCAGGAGGACAGGAGTGGATCAAAGGGTTCGGGCAGGCTGGACTCCTCGACGCTTTGCATGCAGGCAATACCTGAATGTCGTAAACGGGTTTGGAAGAAGGAATGGCAGCGAATTGTCGGTAGTCAAACTTCTTTTCTGACAGGGACTAAAAGGACAGCAAACAGGCATAAGCAGTGGAGAGATGGAAAGAGAAAGAAGGGGGAAATTAACATTGCAAAAGAGAGATGGCAGGATGGACGAAAGGGAAGGACAAGAGGGTGAGAAGCAGTAAAAGTACAAGGAAGGAAGAAGAAAGGGCAACAAAGAGATAAAGGAAAAGTTCATGGATGGTGTTCTACTTGCTATGGACATGACTGTTAGAGTAAAGAATGACTTTTTTTATCATAAAAAGTAAAACAATGTATGTTTGGTATTCTAGTAAGGGGATTAGTCACAACTACATTACGGGTGCTTCAAAATGTGCCGTTTGCTCTGTACTAAATGTAAAATATAAATAACAATAGCTTCATACCAGTCTGCCTGGTGAAGTCACTGCCCGTGGACTGATATCTGTTTAGGAAACAACAATGGATACATGTAACACATTTGCATGTTAAAAATGAACCAGCATCACCCAACAGAGCATGAAAACAGAGCTCGGCATTGTTTTGTTGTTCAGATCAATTTAAATGAGATCAGCACCTTCCATTGGTGTTGGAGAGGGTGTGGGCGCAGGTGACGGTGACTCCGACAGCTGATCCAACGTTCCACGCTTCTTCCCCTCTTTAGACTTGGCAATGACCATCTGGGCCTTCAAAGCATCCTGCTCTAGAGACTTCATCCTGGAAAGAGAGTGAGATACAGTGAGGCACAGAGAGTGAAGGAAGAATGCAAACGGTGTGTGGAGAGGGACAGGATGAGAGATGAAAGAGGAAGAGGTGCTGTGCACACTGATTGGTTAATACAGAAGTAAATTTGATGGAGGCTGTCAAAAATGTGAAAAGGTTATGAGAAAGGATCACAAACTAGAGATGCACCGATTATGTCTCATTTGTTGGTGGAACTGCAGAGTTTCTCCTAATGTAAGCCTTTTTCAAACCCAAAGCTCAAATGTATTTAGATCTTTGAGACACCAGTTGAACTAATCTGACCAATAAGCAATTAGTTATTAGCTAATCAGTCTTACTTTTCAAATACCAATCTACCTTTTTATGTAAACTGACATAAAAAAAACAAGTGGTTTATGCAACCGGCCACAGGATATTAATATGGTCATTTTAACAGCATTCTGTTTAGCTTCGGCTTTATATGATCACAATGTATTTTACTTTTTAAATATTTATGTAACTTCTAAAACAAATGGTCTTGAGATTGTTCATATAATGGCAGTGGACACACTGGACAGTGACCACAAAAGTATCGCAGGATGATCCCATATGACTGGTGGCCGTTGGTTTGCTGTATACGACAGCATGTTCATGAGACTATATTAGCACAGGGTGAGCAGGTAAGTAAATAATGGCTGCATTTACATTTTTGAGTGAACTATTTTTTTTAAGCCATGAACACATGCTCTGCCAAAATGCGTTAAGTCCGATTTAGTCTCATTATAGTGCACTCAGAAAGTCCATTAACAGATAATATGCACAACCATTACAAAATCCCAAGCTCTAATCTTTGAATCAGCATAATATTATTGTGCTATTATTTCAGATTTAGCCAAACCTAAACATGATAGCCTAAAAAAAGCTGTAAAAACTGTCAAATCTTTTAGTCTAAGTGGATGGTTTTTGGCCACAATATCTTGCAATGTGGAACAAAAAACACATTTAAGTGATTATTGGAAATCTGCCTGCATGTGAAAAATATTTTAAGTTTTTACATGCTGCACTGTTACACAGCTTCTATATGAAGGAGCCAAGTATCAATGGTTCCTTTATATAGAAGACCATTTTAATGAAGGTCTTGACTAGAACTAGTATCAGTGCACCTCTAATAAAAATAACTGCAAGCAACTTTAACAACAGCAAAGAAAAACATGTTATTAGGACAACATGGGACCTTTACTGATACACAGATGGGAGGAAAAAGTGAGCGAGCAAAGAGAAAGAGGGTGTGCGCCACCAAACTAAATAATAAATAAAATAGCACACGTGCAAAAGCAGTAGTGGGTTCTTGTAGGGCATGTTCATTTGTTCAGAAAAAGCCACAACAAAACGTTTCATCCGTTACACACTATGCACTATAAAATGTCCACAAGAACCAAGCACCCCAAGCAGTGACAAGCATCAGAGCTAAGCCCCCATGATGCTTTCTGGCTGTTAAGGGCAGACCTGGGCTGACAGGAAGAGGAGGAGCAGGAATTGGGAGGGGTTGCAGCACTGCCTAGTGATGCCCTCACACGGGACTGGTAGAGCCGCTTAGCCAGGTCTTGCTCATACTGCCTTACGTCCTCCTCTAGACCATAAGGCCTTGGGAGCAGCAAGTAAGAAAGTAGAGAGGATAGAAAACAATAACATACAAAAAAAAGGGAAGAGAGGAAGGAGCACAGATGAAAGGAAACACTCTGTAATGGACAGTAAAGATTAAGAAGGAGAGGTTTACATTGAAACTGAGGGCCATCAAAGACAAATGCACAGTATATCTGTGTGTATAAATATAATGTATATTTTATCTATTTGAACAATGTGAAAATGTCTTTGAAAGCCCTGTTCATCAAGGGGAAGACATGAGAAACAGGGTAGGTTTTTACTAAATGCCTGGAGAAAAAGATGAGATTAAGGCACCACAAGTGGACAGCTCTTTCGAGATCAGCGTTACAGAGGAATGGATGAGACCAGAGAGCAAAATGCTCCTAATGTGATACATTTTCATATAACGCATCATTCACGGTGGCCATTATACCTGGCTGCTCTCCACATGGCCCTCTTCTCTGCCTCCAGGGCTCGTTTTTCAGCAGGCGACAGCTCCTTGTCCATAGCGACGGCAAGCTCCGGGCTCTGCATGCGTAACCGATCTTGCTGCCTACGCTCTGCCTTAGCCGTCCGAATCGGAGCCACAGATTCACCGGGATAAACTGGGATCAAACTGTTAAGACAAACACTGGGTTCAAGCATTTCAAATATCCTGAAACATCACCAAACCGTTTAGCTCTGAGAATGAGCATTCACCCCGTCATGGAATTTGGTCTCTGCTCCAGTCTGAAGCCGTCTTCCATTGAATTTCGCTGGGAGTCGCCTTTACCGTCGACAGAGGAAGGACTGGGGAGCGAAAACAACAACTTTACTAGGGATGCACTGATGTATTGTTTAGCTGATAAAAGCAATTATCTGCAAAATCGGAAATTGACCGATAAACAACCAATGATTAAGACAGACGTATCCTCCCAATCAAAAGGGGGCAGAGAAACATATCAGACTGCAACTCATACGGTGTGTGAAGTTTGTCTCTTGCATACAATTAACAATTTAATGCAATCTCACTTTAACAGTTTTACAAAATTGCGCCGTTAACACAGGTTCTATTTGAGCCTATGCCAGGGTTGCCAAGTACGCAGTTTTTACATCCATAAATTGTAAAAAGCTGTGTTATTTCATATATTTTTTTTACAATATTACTGTTTATACTTTATTTTTAATCAAATAAACGTAGCTTTGGTGAGCATAAGATGCTTCTTTGAAAAACATTTTAAAAAAAAATCTTACCGACCCCAGACTTTTAAATGGTAGTATATATTTTTGTAATGCATTTTTATTATTAATCATCAAAGCTATCAGGATGGGAGTTTTAGATGTTTTGAGTGTGTTCTGTAATCAAAATTACAATGATAAAATACTACCTAATGAGAACAACTTTGCAACTATGAAAATCTAGCAAATGATTCCGCAAAAGCGCAGCTCACCCTGAGCTGCCACAGTGGCTGGGAGGCGTGGCACTATAGCTTGGAGGTGTGGCACACTGCCGTGGAGATGGGGAACTGTGACTTCCCAAGCTCTCCACCTTGTACTCCACACCATCAAGTATAACCTTTCCGTGAGCCTTCATATCTGCCACCTGTTTTGCCAGATCTTCCTCCTCATCCTCTTCGTCTTCATCCAGCATATACTCTTGTGCACTCTGTTCAATTCGCTTTGCTGAGGAAAGTCAATGACGCACAATTTAGCAAGATTCACCCATGAACTCAAGTTACTGTACACTTGACAACTACACAGACACAAACCTTCTTCCTCTTTCATTTTCTTCAGGTCCTCTTCTCCCACAAGTGAGATGCGAGGTTTAGGTTTGTCTGGTGTCTGCTGCTTCACATCAATCTCAAAATATTTCTGTCTGTCTCTGAAGGAGCGCTGCTCTGGACTATCTCTGCCAAAAGAGGGGGGAGTCTGGGAGAGAGAGAGAGAGAGAGAGAGAGAGAGAGAGAGAGAGAGAGAGAGAGAAGAGAGAGAGAGATGGACATTTAAGTTTCAGATCAATTATAAAGAACGCTTTACATGCAACCAAATTTCACATGCATCCGGCATGCAAGAGAAGCTCCCATGATGTTCTGAAATATTCAGACAATAAGTAAGAATTTGCACAAAAGTACCAAATATTTGCTGATCCACCACCATGACGATGCAGTGATTGCATAATTTGCTGCCATTGCAAAAAAGACTCAAATTATTGCTCTCCTGAAGCCTTGTCACCAATAATAACTGCCTTGATTCAGAGCAGAACACCGATCGAACACGTACCCATTCTTTACTGAAATGCATGCTGCCGGATGATCTGGCTTCTTGACATTTCGGACACGCAAGAATTACGTTAATTGTTGTGGTTCGAAGCGACATATACACCTGCACCACCACCTCTCAAGCTCAAAAGCATCCAAAGTGTCAGAGTGGTTCTGCTGGAGACGAGCTGGGTACCTTCGACTCCATTGAGGGGCGAGACAGGCGTGGCACGGCTGCCAGGCTCCTGTACTCGCGGCGGTCAGATGAGAGGGAGAGACGAGAGCTGAGAGGACCACTGCCCTCACCATCACCCTCATCCATAAACACCTCATTATTCAGCACAGGCTGAAAGAGCCATCATGTACAGCATATCAACATCCCGCTTGCAAACAATGTTGCGTTCTTAAGTTGTGGTGAGTCAATACACACCAAATAAGGGTTATGTGTCAGGAATCATACACTTGCTGACTTAAAATAAAAAGGGCATCATACACTAAACAACGGAGGATAGTCTGAAGCTTGAAAAAAATCGGTCTATGTCCACACGTGATTGTGACATCTGTGCAAACTCAGACTGGCCAAAATCTGAAAAGACTGACTTTTAGCAACTAGCCCTGATGCTTCAGAACTAAAAATCGGAGCAAAAACTAGGGATAAAGTCATGTAGTGTATTCCAGTTTAAAACAGCTCTTTAAAAATACCTCTGGTGACGGTTGCTTTGCGCTGACATTGTTCCGTGGAGCGTAAAGATCCTAACAAATGAGAGTGAAAAGGAAAGATGATTCAGTTAAGACACACTTGATACAAAACAAGTCCTGTTGGATGAGAGGACACACTTTACACACTGTAAGGAGTCACAATATCAAATCAAGAACATCAAACAACCAAGGTGACAGATGAATGACGCACATTAGTGACCCTGTGAAATGAACTCCTGGATTCGACAGCACCATACGAGTGACTCATGCACAACAACAGCAAATAGGAAACAAGCTCCCAAAGGAACAAGTCTCCAATGGGAAGACTCCCCAAACAGGAAGTATGGGTGACCAAGCACTGAATTACGGGGGAACCACACATGCTCACAGCCTTGAGGAGCATTTGTCCTACCTGTGGGGGTTCCAGTACGGCCAGGGAGTGTGGCACAGCTGCGAAGGCCTTATATACCTGCTTGATATTGATGGGGTATTCCTCATGTGTGTCAGGGGATGGGGCACGAGGCTGTACGAGGGGTTGGGGGGGGGGTCGAAGACGGAGGGGTGGAGGGGTAGAGAAACAGACAGAGGACAAAAAGGATGGAACAGCTAATGAGAGACAGAGCAGCAAAGGCAGAGCACAGGAGGAAAATGCAGGGCTAGACCGCATGCAGCCCACTCGCCAATGTCAGTGGAAAGATGGAGGGAGAGGAAAAGAGAGAGATTGATAGTATGAGGGAGGTCTGTGGTTATGGTGACTGGGGCAAACGACTCTGGACGATATTTTAGTTTACACTGGTATCCTGAGATAATGCGAGTGTAAACCTTGCTGTGCAAACAATGTGGTTTGTGTGATTAGGGAAAGAAAAAAAATCCAAAAGAAGTGTCTTGATGATAGAAAACAGGCACAATGTTACTTGCAGTGAGAAGTTGATATGTCTTTGTTTTCTAAACAACCCGTTTCTTTGACCTGGATTATGGTGTGACCGTTTGTTAGGCTTAATAGGCACATCGGTAATCACACCTTGGAATATATTTGGAGAAAATATAACAACAGTTGCGTTCTGTTGGTCTTTAGGCATGGTAACTGAGGATGAAGGGGGAGCCTCATTAGGGTTCAGACAGTGGTGAGGGATCTTACAGTGGTCTGAGAGCTGATGGGAGAGAGGCCATGCTGGAAAGGGTTGGGACTGCTGTGGCCATCCTGACTGGCTGGAGACACAGCGGGTCGCACCCTAGAGAGTGGCTGGATGGCACCAGGTTTAGTCTAGAAAGAGAGAGAAATTAAACAACAGTAAATCCAACCATCCACCATTTGGGTAGAAAGTACTATAGCTAAGACACTTTCCAGTGACCTTCACTGTATTTGACATTTGGCATTTGCATAATGATTGCAAGTTTAACATAATATGGTCGGTAATGTAATTCAGATTAATATTAGCATGAACTTGCTCTAGTATATATTACAAGATATCTACACTTTTGGACACTCACTGATGATGAATTATCCTTGGTGTTTGCATTTGAAGGGAACTGAATGTTTGACTGAAACACACAAAAAAGAAAATTATGAACATGGTGTAAAAATTAGTGAAAGAAAGAGAACGTTTTCACATGGGATTTGCCGTTTCAAGTCTAGTAACTGCACATGTGGGCTTTATTATATTATAATTCAAAAGAATATAATATATTTATATTATATATTATAATTTCTGTTCTTTTGAACTTTTCATTAATCAAATATTTTTTTTATCATGGTTTCCAGAAAAACATGTTTTCATGTTTCTTTAAATGTTTCTTGAGCATCAAATCAGATTATTAGAATGATTTCTGAAGGATCATGTGACACTGGAGACTGGAGGGTAACACTTTACTTGAAGGGGTGTACATAAGACTGACATGACACCTTCATAACCATGACATGACATGTGTCATGAATATGAAGTAGGGTTTATGCATGTTTATGACAACCGTCATTAAGTGTCTTTCGCTCAATAATGACATTTTGAATGCAAATATGACATTGTTTGAGATGTCTTTGTTATGACATCTTGACATAAACCATAACATCATAACCTGTCAGTGCCTTTGTCATGACAACTTGACATTAAATTAAGTTAAACTGTCATGTGGTTGGTTTTGACATTGGCTGTCATAAGGCCATTATAACTGTGTCATGAATATTTTTCGTGACCTCAACTACAGTGGTACACATTGAATTTGTCATTAAAAAGTTATAATGGCTTCATGAGAGCCAATGTCAAAACCAACCACCTGACAGTTTAATGTAATGTTAACCCATAAATAGGGGTGTACGATTTCACGGTTTTTGATCGTGGACGATTAAAATGTCTCCACAATCTACTTTTGAGGAAATATCGTAGTATCGTGCATTTTATCAGTTGCAGTTCTGGCGCTGAGCTCCGTCTCAACATACAACAAATGTTAACGCAGAGGAACGGGACACTGTAGTTCACAGAAGTTCATTATTTGCATGTGCTTTAAAGCCTTGCTGGTTAAACATGTAATTCACGTGCTGATGCGCTGTTCTGACGTGTGCTTTCTGAGCGCATACACCCGAAGCACACGGGCACTAAAAGCCTGTCTAACAGCGTCTGTTTACTGGACTACGTTATAAGTTATCTTTCGAGTCTTATTGCGCTAATATTGTCAAATACACACAAGGTTTACATAAACAAAGTTGGTTATGTCTAAAGTGAAAGCAAACAGAAAAAAATTTAGAGAAAATCTGCTTGTCAAATGCGTGTATATTAGATGCGTCGCGTGCAGCTCTTAAAGCGACAGTAGCCAGTTAGTAAACAAGCTGCCTCTTGTCCTTAAAGAGATAGTTCACCCAAAAATAAAAATTCTGTCATTATTTACTCACTCTAATCAATGTTGTTCCAAACCTGTATTAATTTCTTTCTTCTGTTGAAAATAAAAGTTATTTGGAAGAATGTGGGTAACCAAACAGTTGCTGGTCCCCATTGACTTCCATAGTAGGAAAACATATACTATGGAAGTCACTGGAGTACAGCAACTGTTTGGTTACCCACATTCTTCCAAATAACTTTTATTTTCAACAGAAGAAAGAAACTTATTCGGGTTTTAAACAACTTGAGAGAGTAAATGATGACAATTAAAATGTTTTGGAGAACTATCCCTTTAATGTTAATAAAACAACAAAACACAAAGAGGAAATCACTCACTGCTCTTGACTGAGAACTTTAGTAGTAGCTTTAATAATAATTAATGTATAATTTATACAGTGAAGTCTATGTTGTGTTTTATTTTCGTATTTGTTCATTTAGCCTAATTACTTTCTTCAATGCTACTGTTAAATACCCCTACTGTAGCTGAAAAAATAAAGCACTGTTTATTTCATTTGTATATTAAGTTGTGTATGCTTAATGTGTATCTTTGTTCCTAATTCTTAATAACAAAGAAAATAATGATAAAGATTTTTATCTTCGCCACGTTGGCCTAAATGTCTGCCATTCTTTTTTCTTTTGTTACCTATAAGGCTTTTTTTTTTAAATAGGGACATTAGTTTGGCTGTAATGCTCAGTCACTTGCAAAATAGAGTAAAACCAACATGAAAAAGAATCATGATAAAATCGTTAATCGTGGTTTTCCTGAAAAAAATCGTGATATGATATTTTTGCCATATCGCCCACCCCTACCCATAAAGCTAAGTGGTTTCTTAAGTTTGATAATTAATCTGCTATGTCATGTTTATGACAGGTTGTGTTGTCTTAGTAATGTCAAGTTGTCATGACAAAGACACTGACAGGTTATGATGTATTGATTTATGTCAAGGTGTCATAACAAAGACATCTCAAACAATGTCATATTTGCATTAAAAATGTCATAACTGAGCAAATGACACTTAATGACAGTTGTCACAAACATGCATAAAACTTCCTTCATATTCATAACATGTGTCATGTCATGATTATGAAGGTGTCATGTTAGTCTTATGCACACCCCTTCAAGTAAAGTGTTACCGCCCCGGGTAATGATTCACCTTTACCATCACAAGAATAAAATATATTTTAAATATATTAAATAGAATTATTATTATAATTTAAAATGTTTTCTGTTTACTGTATTTTTTAATCAACTGAATGCAGCCTTGGTGATCATAAGAGACTTTTTTTAAATCACCAACCACAAACTTTGAACAGTATGGATATGGATATTATCATTTGTTACATTCACTACATATGATTCCCAAGGTCTTATTACGCAGTGTTAATTTAAAAAGCTGTAGTTACATGCTCAGTTGCTTGGTTTGGTGTAAATACTATAAGAGTCAGGCATTTCACTGCTGCAGAGAGCATGAAAAGCAGGACATGCTCAGTTACAGTCAGGCTCGTACACCATTCCTCTCTTAACATCTAATGCAAAGCCAAATGGAGCTAGTGCAGGCCATATAAGGGCTAGTCAGCCCACTTACATATCGAACCTCTCTTCCAAGCATCGCAGAGGAAGATTTGTGGGACTGCTGAGAAATATGGAAATGTCATGACGACGGGTGGAATCAGAGCACATAGGCCATCAACAAGAATACTAACTTAATGAAGACATTAACTAGACTTGTAAAAAGTAGACCTGATAAATCTGTACAGCCTTCCCAATGGAAAATGTTTGACAGCCACATGAAAACAAATGAGAAAAGAAAGGGCTGATAATGGAAATGGAGTGAAACCGATTTAAGTGGGACTGACCTGCGAGTTGTGTGGAGAGTGTGCAGCATCTCGGACAGGACTGTCAATCCTGAGAAGCTCCGACGGTGAACCCTGAAATACAGAAAAATTAACATCACTAGAGCAAGTACAGGAAAGGAATTGCTCATTGTCAGTGAAGTGCTTCACAAAGCAAGATGAGCTTTGTGTCTGCCATTTCCAATAAGCAAAGTTTTATAGAAGCAGTTAATCTTCATTTGAGAGTAACAATAGCAAACCATAAACAACTGCACTTGATGACAAATGTGTTGTATTACGTGCCTCAGATCATTTGAAATCAAGCAGTGATGCCATAAAAACACATTCGTACAAACAGTGTCTACAACAATGTCATGCTACAGAAAACATTTTAAACGTTTCTTTAAAAACCACAGTGTTTTATGTTCCTGTAAATGGCCAGTGGCAGGTCAGAGGCCTTAGCCCTTCTGTTGATTTCACATTCAAAGCATTCTCAGTCACTCTGGGAATGTTTAAATGCCTCAAGAGTCAAGACCATACGTTAAAGCACAGTACAAAGTCCCATTTTTGCATCCGTTCCATTTTCAGCTTCACCTATTTCCTAAACATGGGAAATGTACATAGACATGTATTTTTCTGTGAAACAATTTTACAACCAAAGGATGTTTTCAAAGACATTGATAAGTCTAAAGCAGCTATTCAAGTCTTTGGATGGCATTTGGGATTAAGGTGGTATGTTAACTCTAAATAGCTACTGATGACACACCATGCTTGACCAGAAACACACTCAGTCACAAAACACACTCCTCAAGGCTGCTTGCCTTGCTGTACAACCAGGGTTGCAGCTGCCCATGCCTGCCGTAACCCACAGGTGGCCCTGATAAAATGCGCTCCTCAGGAGGGCAGCCTTTGCCCTTGCGATTAGCCACAAGGAAGGGGTTTTCACTAAAGCAGATTGGCTGGGAGTCCACAAAACATTCTTCTTCCTGGTTAGTTTCTTGTGGCACTCCTAGAGCTGGGAGTGGGTCCCATGTGTCGGCTTGGGGCTGTTTTAAAGCCGTTGAACTTGCGGCAGTGCAGACTGGAGATGAAGGGAGGGCAATGGGCTCTACATGGTACATAGAGGCATGGACTTTCTCAAAACCCAGGGGATCTACGGGGCCAGCTGGCATGGCAGCCTCCATTGTGACGAATGCAGCAAAGGAGGGAGAAAACTGAGGAATGAGAGAGAGAATGTGGTCGACAGAGACAAAAGGGAGAAATAATGTGAGCAGGAAACAAAGACAGATAAAAGAGCAGAGCAACTAATGATACATAAAGGGGAAAGGAAAATGTCATGAGAATGAGAACACAGAAAATGTAAAAGAAAAGAAAAGCAGTAAAGAGTGAAACAGTTGGGTTTAGTCTGGCAGAGTTGGGAAGAATCACAGCCATGCTAAAATCACAAACATCTACCGCTAATTCAGATGAGTGAGGAGCTAAATACAGCTATCCCATCATCCTGAGACATCTCACAGTGAACAGTCACTCAATCCTGAACATTTGCACTAATGTGCTGTGTGCTTTAATATAGACTTTAGGCTTGATATGTCCTGTGACAGACTCAGAGAAAACTTAATGTGACAATTACAATCAATTAATTCAATAACCAGGGAGCTGTTTTTCTGTTTCAGTGCTGTGTTATCTTAGTATTAATTATATAATATTATAGATTTCATTAATATTTTGAATTAACCTTGATGGTTATATATTCAGTTTTCATTTTGATTTTAGCAATTTTGTTGTACTTTTGTCATTTTTGTTTTTTATATATATTTCTAATATTTCTTTAATTCATTTTAAATCAGTTATAGAACATTTTGTACTTAAAAGTTAATTTTAAAAATCTTTAATAAAATCTTTTTCACCATCATGAACGTTGAATGATACTTTAAGAGAACACTGAAGTTTAAATATACAACCTAATTGAAATCATAAGTAGTTCTTACAAGTGCATGTAACTACAGAGTGGACACTAACCACAATATGCAAACATGTACGTAACTTATTACTATTAACTTAAGCATGCAACTTTACGAAGAATTATAAATCTGTTCTCTGATTCTCCTCACAGGGGAAAAAATGCTTCAAATGTGGCTTCACAAACAGGTGCAGTTGGTGGCACATTGTGATGCTTAAGTTGTGACCGTCGCACACAGTTAATGGCCTCATTCTGATAAAAAAACTTCATTCAATGGCTCTTGTGTGCAGATAAAAGTCACTGCTCTACAAAACAGTATCTATAAATAGCCGTGACTAAATGGTTCTTCATATACCACGAAAAACGGTGCGCTAGTGTTTCCCTGTCTAAGAGCAGTCCACCCCCCCTCCCCCTCCTCCATTCCTCACTTAACTTTGCTAACAGCTGCTAGTGCTATGTAGGTTATACATTCCCAGAAAATAGCCAGGCTAAAAATGATGACAAAGGGGCAAGGAATATATCAAGGAACATCAAAAAAACAAATTACAAAGCTCAAATTACATCTACTACATTTTATAACCTTTACTGAACATCACTAAAGCCAATAAATCACTGTAAGTGGGATGTTTGTGTGGAATTAACAATACAATTTACTGACTTAACTCTAACTCAACGTCCAACAACCAATGGATACTGTTATTATTTCAGTGAAAGTTAAAACACTCAGAAAAAAAAGAAAAAGAAGAAAAAGTAGTGAAGAAAGTAAAGGAGGATTGAGTGATAAAGAAATAACAGAAAAGTCAGAGTTGTAGAGTAATAGCAGTGGTACACTCACAATACGATGACAGGAGCTGATTCCAAACGGCTCGACTTAGATAACTTAACTGTCAAGCTCTTCCAAGGGTCCCTCATTCTCAATGGCCACACCCACCCATTAAACCATTCAACCAATCAGCTCACAGCATACATTTTAAAATAACTTGAGCTACTGTCAGCTGTCGGCCGGCACCTCCCCCTCACTACCCCTCAAGCACCGGCAAATACAATCTGTATTTTGTCAGAGGTATGGCTGGAATGACCAGCAGCTGGACTGCTTCACCTTTGGCACTACTAGTAAAAGGAGCACTACAACGCAAATGTAAAGCTTGACCTCATAATGTTTCAGAAGACCAATACACTAAGCATTCAAGCATCTGAGGAAATATGAGCTGACCCATAAGCTTTGTTACTTTTAATAAGTAACAAAGACTATGCTTTTAAATTCTGCCAATTTGATCACAAAATTCAAACAAATGTAATTTGGATGCTCTTTAATGTAGTGTGACAGAACGATCTCTGCAGCCGCCTCAGTTCAAGTGGCGTACAAGTGTACCCATCATCTTAACTACTTAGTTACAGCATAAAATAAACATGAATCAACAATCAGGTATTTAGAAAGAAACAGTAGAACTTACTGAAATGTATCATGTCTCATGTTATCTCTCAATCAGTGTTTCAACCGCAAAAGAAGTGTCAATAAAATAGCTTGTAAACAATGTACATTACTTCGTATTTACCTCAGGGAAGCTATTCAATATCCATAAACTCGTCAGTTTATTAGAAATAATAACTTTATATATGTAATATACAGTTTTAGAATATTTTTACCTGTTAGTGATGTCTTATTGAATGCATGTCTGAATAAATCGGTCACGAAGACAAAAAACGCGATGACAACCATTATTTAAATGTTGTACATTGTAGAATGTGGAAATATAACTACATAAAGTTTATATAAAAACTGTCCAAAATGTTTTAATGTTTCTTATTGTTGATTATTATATCTAAAAATAATTAGCAAGATAATTTTAATAGTTTAGACTCATTCAAACCTTTAAAGTGCCCCTATTATGGATTTTTGAAAATGACCTTTCATGCAGTGTGTAATGTAGATGTATGTGAATGTAAACAGTCTGCAAAGTTGTAAAGCTGAAAGTGCATAAATAAAATTAGTTTTTCTCAAAAGAAAGAGTCAACTCTAAACCGCTCAAATGAGTCGTTTGGAGTTCGAATCTATTTTTGCAAAGTTCACACGTCATGACTTGCTACATTTGCATAATGCCCCCCTACATTCTGCGTGAACAGTCACAGGACATCTTGCTGTAGCTTGTTCGTGTGGATATCATGTCGTCAATTCGCTTGCGTCTCTTGTCTTTTGCGATGGAGGATCGGGTTGAATGACTAGTTCTTCCAATGTTTCATCATCGGACTCGCGCTCGGATTGATATGGTAAAATCGACGTCATCGTTCGTTACCGTTTTTAGTTTACAGTGTACAATCGCTGAGCTGTCGGAAGCCTCCGGATGGAGCTGAAGTTCAGTTATGGCAATCGACGTTTTTGTTTTCGACATGAGCTGTACGTGGTAGACCAATCACAACAGACTGAGCTGTCTGGCCAATCAGAGCAGAGTAGCTCACGGAAAGGAGGGATTTAGAGAGACTGATTCATCCATGGAGTCGTTTGAGAATCATTGAAAAATGTGGTGATGTGAAATATTTATTATGAGAAAATTAAACGTTTTTTTGACCGTTGATGCATGTAAACCTGTTGTAGGAGACCTCCTAAACAAAATTAGGACACTTTAATGTTATTAGTATTGTACCAACTGACAGTATAGTTTACAGATTTAATTGAGAGACTTTCTTTCCAAACTGATTCTGATATATATCCAAATGATTTGAAATTGGAATCGAATCAAGAAGTTGTAAATTGAAATCAAATAGAAATAACTGAATAAACTGTCAATACTCAGGCCTAGTCTGCAGGGACGAAAGCTCATTTCATGGACGTGCAACAGCCAGTGGGTGTATGCACTTTGATAAGAAAGCATTTGTTTGGAAATCCTTACATGGCATTTATGTCCAAAAGTCTTTCAAATATTTTTTTTCTAGATGCTTTCTAGCCTATTTACTAAAACATGATGCTACATGTAGGTACTTACTCTGTTAACTTTCTGTAGACTAGTCATAGGCAGAGCCGCCAGTGTCTTGTAGTCCAGTTTCAATGGCCCAGTGCTCAAATTCTGTCGAGAGAGCATTAGAAAGATTACATTGAAAGATCTTTGTTCACTGAAAGAACATGTTCAACAATCTTCTGAACTTTATTTAGACTTTTCATTAAGCTTTGAGTATGAGGACACAGTATCTAAAGGGCTTCTAAATGTTCAGAGGTTCAGACATGACTCATTTGTTCATGTTCAAGGTGACGGCTGGTCCCGTGATTCACTCCTGGAGCCTTTATGTGGGCCGTTATGACAGGGAGGGCATAAGGCCTCACCTCAGTTTCCTCCTCCAGCAAGCGAGTTGCCTCCTCGCGCTCCAAGCGCATTCGCTCCTTAACCGAAAGAGGGAGGGTAATAAGGAGGGAGTGGGAGGTGGGTTGGTGAAATTTACCCAATCACACACGTGCACACATTTTACCGACACAAATATGGACACACACACACACACACACATTCCGATGACATCCATTGCACAGATGGGGATGAGGTTTAGGTGACACGAGTCATGGATGAAAAATAAAATCAGGGAACCATGTAGACACAAGAACATATTTAATGAAGGAGATGAATGGAATTGAGAAGAAACAAGATGTGATGTTTGGAATGAGCAACACCCAAAATCATTCAGAAGGGTTTGGGGGAAAAGTGGGGCATAAGATAAGAGAAAGAGAGAAGAAAAAGGACAGATCCACATTTATTAGTTATAGTTATAGGGGAGATTTGGAAGTTGTTGTCATTTTAATAGCAATTGTTATTATGATAATAATCTGTTATGACAAAGGCGATTTGGGGAGGAAATTACTCACCACTTTTTCCATCTCCTCCCGTTCCCACTGGGACGTCTCTCTTACCATTTCTACCTCCTGCGGGAGAGTTCAGACAGAAGAATATTATTTTTCCGTCCATGCCACAGTTCTTCCTATTCTGTGTGCCGCAGAGAGCTCACCTTCTGCATGATGTCAATCTCTTCAGGACTCAGGTCTCTGTCTACTGACGAGATGCTCTCCATACTGTTCTTACGAACAATACCGGCCGCAAACGGGTTTGCAATAACACCAGGGGATGCCTGAAAAATCAAATTAATTACAAATAAATATGCAAAATATGTAGTAGTTTATACAGCACGGTGCAAAAGTCTTAGGCACGTTAATATTTACCAAAAATAAGACTTCAAGCCAGTTATTTATATATTTTGCTGTAGTGTCAGTAAGAAATGTCAGTTTACATTTCAAAAGATTCCTTTTGCCATTAATTGTAATAATCCAGTGAGATTTTTGTATGCACAAGGAGTCAATATGCTTCACACAGAGACCTGATCACAGTTGACACAGTTCTTCTGGATTTAGCGTCTGTCTCAGTATTTTCTGTTTCTTCATGTAATCACAGACAGACTTGATGATGGTAGGATCAGAGGGGATACAAACAAAATATTTTGGTTGTCAGACTCCTTGTGCATACACAAATCTCACTGGATTATTACAATTAATGCAAACGGAATGATTGGAAATGTAAACTGATATTTCCCACAGACACAACTGGTTTAACCATTTTTTGGGGTGAAAATACTAACCTGCCTAAGACATTTGCAAAGTACTGTACATATTATTATATAATTATTTGAGCCACAGCTGGACACCAGAGCAGATCGCTTCTCCTCCTGTAAAAGTGTTTACCTCTATGCCCGTAGCGTTTCTTGGGTCAAAGCCATCACACACAAGCATAACCAAGGAATCACCGGAGGCACGCAAGACCCTCACTGCTTCCGTGTGGGTCATACCCAGCAGACTGTTGTTGCCCACCTCAAGAATGCGCATGCCCACCCGCAGTCGGTCATCTCGTGCAGCGGCACCACTGGTGCTCACCTATAAGAACAAGTGAGTAACAAATCAAGGATTTACATGACTGTAGTGAGGAGGAAACCAGACCAGTTTTTTTGCAATCAGAATCCTGAAGGGTTTAAGCTTTATGGTTACCTTGGAAATGAAGATGCCCTCATCTGTGGGGTCAAAGGGGTTTCCTGCATGGCCTTTAGCGCCACCCCTGATGCTGATTCCTAGCTTTTCTCCAGGCTGCTTGTGAATGACAATCTCCTACAATAACACAGATATGTTTTAGAGGGTATGTAAGGGTATCTCATTGCAGGCCATTATGCCGTATTTTCAGGAAAATCTAATATTTGTTAGATTTGACTGAGCCAAGAGAACTTCACAGATGTGACTGTAAGAAACCATCTGACCATACTGTAGGTTTTGCTCACAACCCTGTGCAAATGTGGTAATACCTCCATGCCGGGAGGCGAGGGATCTCTGCGCACAAGCATGCGGATCTCCTGTTTGTTGGAGAGCAATGCTCTAACAGCTTCCTGGTGTGTTGCATGTCGCAGGTCGATGGCATTCACCTCCAAGATACGATCACCCACACGAAGTCCACTCTGAGAGGCCAAGCCATTGGGGATGACCTACTCAGATGCAATAAGGTCAGAAATGAATTCATCTGACAAGCTCCACTGACCACAAATCACAGCATTTATTTTTGACATTAACCTGCATCATACTAGGTACTTGTAAATAATAAAATAGTTTATTTTACCTTTGAGATGAACACCCCTGGCTCATTAATTCCAAACGGGTGACTGGCATGGTCGCTACCCCCTACAATGCTCAAACCCAGGGGACCACCCGCTTTGAACAGCATCACTTCCTGTCCAGAGAGGAAAATGCGATGTATTAAGTCAAGTTATGTAGAGTTTAAGTTTAAAAAGTCAGGTTTGCAGTAGGTCAGATGGATGATATAATCTTTAGGATTAATTTATAATAATAAATAAGATACTGCTCAAAAGTTTGGTGTTGGTAATTTTTGTTTTGTTGCTTTTTTAATAAAAAAAAAACCTCTCGTCTCACCAAGGCTGCATTTTTTTTACCAAAAATACAATAAAAACAGCAACATTTTGAAATATTACAATTTAAAATCATTGTTTTGTATTTTAATATATTTTAAAACGTCTTTAGTGTCACATGATACTTCAGAAATCATTCTAATATGTTGATTTGCTGCTCAAGAAACATTTCTTATTATCATCAATGATAATGCTGCTTAATTTATTCTTATGATACTCTTAATATGTTAATATTTCTGAGGAAACTGTGGTACTTTGTTCAGGAAACTTTGATGAATCGAAAGTTTTGTAACATAAAATATCTTTGTCACTTTTGATGAAATTTAAAGCATTCTTGCTGAATAAAAGTATAAATTTTCTTTAAAAAAAAATAAAATAAAGAAAAATCTTATGGACCCCAAACTTTTGAATGGCAGTGTCAATGTTTTAGATAAAATAACTGAATGTTAGTTATTTGTGATGGAGACGCACACGTCTTCTGGGCAAGTCTATAGACCTTATCCACAAGAGAAACAAGGGCGCCGCCCTCTTTAGAATATTGTCTTTGAACTTCCGTTTTTGCGGTCGCTCTGTATATCTCTATGGCATTGCTGTCCAGGAGTAATTAGCTTTTGAAGTGGATTTACCTAATGTAAAGTTAACGAAAGTTATCATGAGGATTGTAATGTTTAAAGCAGATGTCTTAACAAATGTCAGTAGACCGGGAAGATTTTAAAACGAGCCGTTCATTCATAAATCGCTGTGAAAATACAGACCGGAAGACAAAAGACAACGAGCGCAGCGCTGAAAAGGGGCGGAGCTACATAAGGTCTATACATCTACACAACTTCAAAACATCAAGGGAACATCAATAAAATGCAAAACCAATAGAGTAAATTTCAAAAGGCCAAATCACAATCCTAAAACAATAAATCCAGTATGCAATGTTCATACCGTGCACCATTTTCTCTGTTGAGTGAGGCATTAAAACATCAAAATGAAGCTGTTATGAGATTAAACTACAGCAAGCAGCATTTATCAACACTCACACATTCCCCACAGACTCACTGTCACACTTTTAGTTAAAGCTCGCACCTCAATGGGGTATTCATCTTCCATGGGACAGTTGAGATGGTTTCCAAGGTGCTCGTCTCCTCCTTCCTCTTGCTCAGGTGAGTCAGATGGCTCTGGAGGAGGGGGTGAATGAGGTCGAGTTCGAGGGGAGGCGCCCCCTGCACTGGCCTGGTCCCGATCGACCAGGAGGGTGATGGTGGGGGAGGTGCCAGTAAGCAGCGCTACTGCCTGGTCATGTCTGGCCTCTGTCATGTCTACACCATTGATCTGAAGTGACAGCCAAACACCAGAGGGTCATAGAGGGCCAATATGCCCAGAATGGGCAGATGAAAGCCCCTCATGCTGAGCTGTGATGTCTTACTGGCTCTTTAAATGCTGTAAGTAGGGTTTTAGAGGAACATTAAAGATTCCAGGTGTTAGACGAGGGAAATTTTTTTCCTGTACAGGACTGATCTGGATCAGGTGAAAGCCAATGCTGAGTCCTCTCATGCATTCATAGGCTTAAAAGGAAAAGTGATTTCCACTTTGTTTTAAAAACCTGGGTTCTCAGTGAAAAATCATGCAAACCAAACTGATACACATCTGACCAGGGAAGTGAAAAGAGAAGGGAATGTGCAATAGGAGAAAGAGGAAGTGCTGGAGATGCTTTAGGTAGTAAGATCATGTAGTGTGTTAGAGCAAGTACAAAAAGAGCAGCCTTTGAAAACAGTCCCCAAACTCTACTACAGCTTGTCACATTTAGATGCATTGCAGATATATCTCACATGCCTTGATTAGAGGACCTTTCACTCATAAAAAGTGGGTTTAGTCCAGGATGAGTTATAATTACAATTGATAGTAAGTGCGATAACATGCACTATAAAACTTTAATTACATTTGGACAAAAGCAGTAATTAATCTGTTTAAAATGTCATGTACACACTTTAGTCTGACTGAAATATACCAGTCTGGTTTTGGGGAAGCCAGACTAACAGATCTGGAAAATGTGATTGTAGCTTGGCTTTCTCCAGCACCTTAAAATGTTAATCAAACTACAATTTGCCTCAGGATTGTGCACTTGCTCCATAAGATAGAGGTGGCGCGCAACCTGCATTTAATCCTTCAAATATTCGATTACGTATTATGTCATCTATAACTGGACAGATAAAAGACTGTAGCCTGACTACATAAAAACCTGCTCTTAACTTGAGAATAACTATGCATGTACAGTACTAACTGATTCATCACATTTGCTATTGACTTATTTTTATTCAATTCTTTAATCCTGCCCTTTAATTACAATCTGGGTCTTATCTTGACGCATGATATGTTGTGTTGGAACTGCGGATTAAAGCCGCTGTGTTCATTATTTTCACATAAACTGCATAACAGAGATTCTCTCTACAGGGCCAAGGCATGTGGCTAAATCGGTTTTGTTTCATGTGAGGAAGGACTATTTTTGATTTCTGGTTACATTGTTTATAAGTAAGAATTCCCACCATGGTGACAAACAGAGGTCAGCACTGGCCAGTCAGTACCGGCGCTTACCACAGGGTGACAGAACGGCAGCTGCTATGGTAACGCATGCAGTTACCATGACAGCAGGCCCAAAGAATAAGTCTAAAACCTCCCATCACCACACCCGACACCAAGCAGGCAAGAAGTGTGTTAGTGAAAACCCATGCAAGGACGGAGGAAGAAGCAGCAAAAAAAAAATCGCAAAATAAAGAGGGCTCAGGGAGACAAAACAGTTTGGATTATAATTGTCATATTGCTGAGTAGGAATACAAGCAAGGTTACCAGGAGAGAAGTGCACAATTACACAGTGACATTTCATGGTGCGAAGCAGAACGGTTATGGTGTACAGCACAGTAAAACAGCAGAAGACCGCTCAGTTGCACTCTGCTGAAACTAACTCTAAATTCAATCCATCTAATACCTAGGACCAAAACAATCTATTATTAAAGGTATAGTAAAACAAAAACGCGTGTGTTAGTGTTCATGCATTCATTTTCCATACAATGAAAGAGAAAGCTCAGAAAACGGAGTATAAAAGTATCATAAAAGGTAGTCCATATAATTGATGTGCTTTATTCCAAAACCATACAATCAGGGTTTGAAATTAACACCCGCCAACCCTCCAAATGCAGGTAAAAATCAACTGGCGGGCAACGCTGTCAAATCACAAGCCAATTTGGCGTGTTACTTATGTTTACTCACTTTGCTGGGGAGGTTCGTGTAAGACAAATCTGTGCAGATTTAGCGCAAATACTGAACTCGTGAGTCATCATGATATATTTAATACAGTGTATTGCGCAGAATCTGCGCATATCTGGCTTACTTGAACACACACGTCAGTACACAACAAATAATGGAGCGCTTGTTAATTTACATTGAAGCAAAAACGAAGATTAAATAGCATTTGGTTAACAGAAAAGCCATTGTTATTTTCCAACATCCAACATTTTTTTTATGTTCCTTGCACTGTATTGATCTGTCCACCTAAAATACATTTTTGGTGATGAGGATGAAAGAGGAAGGGAGGAGATGGCTGGATGACATGATTTTGTTTGAATAAGAAATTAATGTATGAAATCCAAATTTTATAATACCTATAAATTATAATATTTATTATATATATATATAATACATAAGCTGTGACATAGTTAATCTGGTTTATTTTTTTGTACTTTTTGGCTAGTAGAAGTTCTGAATGGCCGGTAACTTAATTTAGTAGCCAAATTGGCCGGGCCGGTGAGTGAAAAAGTTCATTTCAAACCCTGCATACAATAGCTTTGTGTGAACAACAGATCCAAATCAAGTCATATTCATAAGATCCAAAAACCCATAATTTTTGAGGTGACGTCTTCCTGTGCCACATTTTAATATACACGAACATAAATGAGATTTGATATTCAGCATAAATGAGTCTTTCTCGCACAAAGCTATCACATTGCTTTAGAGGACTTAAAATAAAGCACATGACTTGTATGGATCACTTTCATGGTGCTGTTTGTCATTATTGGAGCTTGGCAGACCCTGGTAATCATTCACTTTTAGTATGGCAAACAACAGCCTCAAAATGTGCTAAACATGTGTTCCAAGGAACAAATTTCGTTTTTTAGTTATTTCTTTTTTTAGTCATTTTTAGTATTTTTATTTTATTTTAAAGTTTTTAAAAGGATCTCCGGTTAGTTTGACAACTTAGTCTTATTGGGTTAGCGATACCATTTGCGCCACAAACGTGATATTATAACAATGTTTTCGTTGTAGCGAGATATTTTAAAATAAAGTTTTTAACCTGTAAGTCGCCATTGTTGTTTTTACCCATTGCATTCTGGGCCGTGACGTAGACTGGTCCCAGCGCCGCTACAAACACAAGGCGCATAAACACTAACGTTATCAAGTTAAACTATTAACGTTACCTCAATTAGCGAGCGAAATGTCTGCCGTTCACCCTTTTCAGTTCGAGGCTGAACATGTCATAAATAAGAATTTTGAAATAATCTACCACAGTAAATGCATATTATAGCCTAAGAACAGGATACTTGTTTACAGATTTACCATGCATCATTGCCCATCCTAATTTTGAGGCAGTTTGTCTCGATCCAGATGTACTGTGGGCTGCCCTCGTCAGCCTCCATGACAGATGGAGCGCTGGTTTACCCAGCCGCGATGCAGTTACTAACAGGCAGGTCTAACATGAACATATTTGTTTAGAAATATATAACATATTACATGGCTTGGCTGAATTCCAGTGTAGAATGCGGTGTGTTATTTCTTGATAACAGACCGCTGCGAAGTATAACAGACCGTTGCCATGAAAAACAGCGCATTGCTATGGACGCAGCAGGATTCTAACCAGAGACGGAACGGACTATTTTCTTTAGCGGAAGCAATACAATCGTTTTTAAATCAATAAATTCCTTTTTAAATTCAATATTTTTTGTCAAATTATTGATTTATTTGGTAGGTAGCCATGTAATAGGCGGGATAATGGCTTTGCGTCGGGCTCCCGCATCAGCCTGTCGGGGTTGTATTCGCTATAACAACCGCCTCGCTATACATTATCCCTTACTTAGTTTGGCCAACACTGAAAGTTTTTCCAGTAACTGATAAAGAACCTAGACAATAACACAGCGCAAACATTATTGGCTGGCATGTATTGGCACAATGTGGCATTTTATCTCTCTAGGTGGGTCCGACGATGAACTGTAGAAGAGTGTGTCGAACTGCCCGCGAACGCTCGCCTGCCTCTGACGTGTTCTTTTTAGTTTAGCGCTCAGGACCGTCGTGCGTCATCAACAATCGACGGCCCATAGTACAAAAAAGCTGAAAAAAAGTAGTGATAGCGCTTTTTTATTTTTCTTAATCATGAAAGCGTTTCAGGTATTTTTAACCAACCGCCTTAATTAGGAGGGGTATTGACATCATATCTAGGCAAACTAGCCGGAGATCCTTTTAAATGACATGAAGTTGAGAAAATTTACAATTTCAAGTGAACTACTCTTTTAACTCTAAAGTTGATTACCTACACTAACTAGAGAGAGACAGCGAGAGAGGTGTGTGCGAGAGATGGATGGACTCACTGATATGACCCTGTCTCCCACGTGCAGGACAGTGTCTCTGTGAGCAGCTCCTCCTTCAGCAATTCGAGAGATGAAGATTCCCTGAGAATAAAGCAGGAGAACACAGTCAAGTCAACTGTAACTCAACTCCATAAGATTTTTTAAAATGCTTTTGAAAGAAGTCTCTTGTGCTCACCAAAGCTGCATTTATTTGAATTTTAAATTCACTTTTCTATTTTACAAATTTTTCTATTTGTAATTTATCCCTGTGACTGCAAAGCTGAATTTTAAACATCATTACTCCGGTCTTCAGCGTCACATGATCCTTCAGAAATCATTCTAACATGATGATTTGCAGCTCAAGAAACATTTCAATGTTCAATGTTGAAAACATTGCTGCTTAACATTTTTGTGAAAAAAAAAAGAAGTTTTTTTCTGTATTCTTCGATGAATAGAAAGTTCAAAAGAACAGCATTTATTTGTAACATTAGAATTTTTTAACATTTCTTTACAGTCACTTTTGATCAATATAATGCATCCTTGCTAAATATAGTAATTATTTCTTTAAAAAAAAGTGATCCAAAATTTTGAACGGTAGTGTATGTAAACATCCAAATTCTCGCAAAGTAATGAAAATAAGCTATAAATGAGCCTATTTACCGAGCCAGAGCAGTGAATTTACTGCTTTTAACATTCACAAAGAACTAAAAAAGATCATCCTCTAGAAGTGACAGTGCTAAAATCACTTGCAGTGCTATTTTACAGCACTCCTGTATAGCGGATAAGAGCTACTGAGTATGCTGGTGTAACATGCTGCAATGCCACATGCCTCTTAAGCAGAGAATATCCCGCTGACCTTAGCTTGAAATTACCTGCTTTTTAATGGCTCATTATAGTAAAAAAGGGTTATTTAAAACTCTAAAAATGTAATTTAGACTATGTAGTATTAAAATAACTATCTACGACCTTCAAGGCCACTTCATTCTTCAAAGAAAAATCTGACAACTGATACGCAGATAGTCTTCAAGCCGCCTTTGTCAGCACTTTCACAGTATGGTCTCTAGAAGTGTGATCAGAACACTGCATGCTGAAAACTCAATGTACCAAACAGACAAGTTGGTGACATCAACTTGCTAGTAAAAGCGAGCGCAAAGGTCAAGCAGAGGAACAAAAACAGGACTTACACTTACTCAGCCTAGAGTGTGCTAGAGTGTGCATGTGCTAATGTGTGACGGTCTCCTTCGTGAAAGTGGTGCATAAATGAGGCCGTGTGTCAGAAAGATAGAGGGTGGTTTGATGCGTGTCTGCAGCAGAGATCCAAAAATACTTCATCCCCTGCCATCCTGTAATCTATCGGCACTATCGGGTGTCAGTCCCTGTAATTCTAATCATCACAGCCTCGGTCACACATCCTAGAGGTGATGAGGAGCACCATTCAGAGTCTTATGCAGTCCATACATTTCTGTTAAATATGTTAAACATACGGACAGAGCGAACGACCTGTCCTGTGCTCCGTAAACAAACACAGAGATAAAACAACCTGACACCAAAGCAAAGAACACACCATCAAATATTTACCACAAGGCAAGTCACAAGTGTATCTGGAAGAGCGTCTTGTTTTTACCGTGTCTCCTACTCGGTACGGGGTTGACCCTTTCCCTCCAGCAATGCTGAAACCTAAACCTTTATCGTTGCGGATCAGACAAGTGGCTAGTCGCTGTGAAGGTCCAGTGCTAACAGCAGGTGAGGCAGGGTCCAGGAGGAAAGGCAGCCCACTGGAACGTCTCTCCCGGGGGAAATAATCATCTTCTGGTCGCAATGGTGTGGTGGTGATGGCGTTCTCTGGTTCCACCATGCGCTCTCGTAGAACGGTCATAACCACGGCTGCCCCCGAGTTACGCAAGGCCTCGACAGCTGTGTGATGCTCTGCCCCATGCAGGTCTACTCCGTTCACCTAAGACCCGATGAATACAAAGATGGAGGACTTAAAGCTGCATGGATGACTGGTTTTGTATGAGGCAACTCAAAAGGTGAAAATTATAACAATGTTCACCTCAAGAAGTTTGTCTCCCACTTTGACCCCAGCACGAGCTGCAGGGCCCTCTTCTGCCACTCTAGAGATGAAAATACCCTGAAAAGGACATGCGCAGTACATTAAAACAAGCTGACAACACACTCACACACAAAAGCATTTACTGAAATGTATCTTTTACATGAAAGCTCATTGAAACGTACCTCATCGTCACCCTTATAGGGCGTAGATCCTTTCCCCCCTGCTATGCTGATGCCTAACCCACCAGTCTGCCTCAGGATGGACAGGTTCAGCTACAGATGAAGCAGAGATCAGACATTTACAGAAAAGTGCACAACAAAAACCTGCACAATGCATCTCACAAGACATTTGCTATAATATGCACGACTTAACTGACAGAACAAAATAACTAACAAAAACAAAACATGAATCTTTCATGCAGTGCATGCTTGTTTATAGAGGAAATATCACTAATGTGAAGACTGCATCCATGTTCAGACAGATCGCATATATTGTCCCAACCAGCAGCCGCCTTTCCTTGATATTTTACACATTGCATTCATTTACATACAAAAACAATTGAGCTCAAATTTAAGGATCATTGGACAATCCATTCATATTCGGAAGTACTTTTAACACAATTTGAAAGATAAATCAGAAGCACAAAAACTCTGTTGATAAGAGAAATATCAAACTTTGTAAGTTGGATTAGGTGGACTGACTGTCAATTTACTGAAGTAATAAATTTGAAAACAAAATGTGTTATAAATTGGCTCAAAATATCAAACATATTTGATATCCTCCGACTGGACGGAATTATAGTCTGAATCTTAAAAACTGGAGTTTGTGCCCATCATACACCATGTGATTTTCTGTAAAGTTTAACAATTCAAATATCGCTTCAAACATCGACTTGTACAGACTGTGAACTGGGGCAGAAATCTTGGGAAATGTCATGTATTTCAGCCTTTACTCTAATTGCACAGTTTATACATAGACATCATTATGGTCTCTACAAAAATATACATTGATATATTCTATACAGAAAGTTTGTTTACATTCACATCTTTTGTTTAATAAGCCTACAACCAGAAAGTCATGCAAGCCTGCTTAAGCATGACTGTTGTCCATGTAAATGAATAAATGATTAGTAAGCAGATAATTTTATTATGAGACTGTTGAAAACAGTTGTGCTGCTTAATAGTTTTGTGGAAACTGTGATAGATATTTTTTCCAGGATTCTTTGATAAATAGGAAGTTCAAAAACAAGCACATATTTGAAATGGAAATCTTTGTAACATTATAAATATCTTTTTTGATCAATTGAAAGCATCCTTGCTGAAAAGTATACATATATATAAAAATGAAAATCATGCTGATTCCAAACTTTTGGACGGTAGTGTGTATAAAATTAGTAACACTGAACTACAGCAACGATGTTGATCCAAGATCAGTGATGGACATTTGATGGCACAAAATCGGATCAAATTCAACTACTTTAACACTATATTATGCATATTAATGCATAACACTATGCATTTGATCAAATAGTCAAAGGTCTAAAGAATCAAGGAGAGGAGGCCAGTGTTACTTGGGACAGGGCACTAATGATCTGTTTGATTTATGCAGACTGTATATAGAACACATGCTCAGGTTTAAACATCACCCATCTCAAAACTTGTATTGAGTCAAGTTTTGTAGCTTAATGGCAAAAATAATGGCTCCACATCTAGTTCAAGTCTAATTGTCATTAAACAATGTACCGTCACAGATTCATAGCCTAAAAAAAAGAAGGCTGAAGCAATTCAATTTATAGTTATTTGTCCTTTTTTGATAATGTCATCATGATATAGGAACATGAATAACTAATATCAATAATAAACTTAATGACAATTTAATCAAAAAACAACTTTGTATTGACTGATTAAGTGAGGGCACACGTCACCAAACAGTCACAACGTGACATACCCAACGGTCACAAAATGAATGTGGGGGTGGTGAAATCTTTTGTGTGATGGACTAGATGTGGTTGATTCTACAGCAGCAGCCATGCAAAGGAGGTTTAGTGAGTGGGAAGATGGGGGGAAAAAACTGAAGACGACAGAATGATGTCCTTGGTCAATGAAATAAATTTCAAAATAAATAAAATAACCAGTGCAAAGAGTGCAGTATATCAGGAATTACTTTTTAGAAAATGCAAGTACTAGCCTATTCATTATCCACATATCTGTGCTAATTCTCAGAGAGAGAGTATCAATGTCTATGTTGAAATTAGTTGCATCAATATCAATGGTAACATATTGTAAAATGGGATTTTCATTGTATTCACATCTTTTTATATTGCACTGTAAAAAAAAAAAAAAAAAAAAAAAAAAATCACACTCTGTCCATTTCATAAGCAACTAGGATGACTAATTTTAGGGGCTTCTGGAACAACAATTGTACATATATTTTTATGGCAAGTAAAAAATGTAAATTATTTTAGCACTACTTTTGTGAGTCTTGTTCATTTAAATCAGACAAGACAGAGACACTTGTAATAAGATGCTGCAAAAAAAAAAAAAAAAAAAAAAAAAAAAAAAAGTTTCCACTAGCTCATGTGTGCTACTTGCTCCTAGGTGGCAGAGCCTGACAGAAGGCTAGGCGGTGGAAAAGAGGGAAGAAAAACAGAAGCAGGCAGACAATAATGGAACCTAGTTTGGAGAAAAACATTTCTTGAAAGTTTGAGGGCAATTCTTTAAATAAAAAAAAATCTTATATTGACGTTTTCGATTACCACAGCAAATGCCTTTGTTCATATTACACTGTATTCCATTAATTTTGTTAATTACAAACTAAAGAACATGGTCAAATTATTTTCTGTGGTAAATGACAATGTCACAGATGCAGTTGACAGAGCTGGTGAATGTACTCAACCTAGAACATTCCTTTACTATCTTCAGCTAACAGAAGCACCATGACAATGTTTTCTTCTCCAAAAACTAAGATTCATTACAGTGGTGATAAGTAAGTGTTAGTCAGCGTTTCCCTAGCCATCGGGATTGGATTAATGAAGGAATTGTATGGTGGGTCGTGATCCCCTGAACTGCAGGTGAATGATGAGTGAATGAATGAATAATAGAGAAAGAGAGAGAGAGGGAGAGAGCGAGGAAAAGAGCGGGAGTTTGGGCGGAAAGAGAGTAGGTACAGACCTCTTCCTCCTCAATTCGAGCAGGCTCAATCAGCAGATTATTGACTTGATCAAATGACACCCCCTGTTAGGACAGGAACCAGCGAGAGGGCATGCAGATTAGTCAGGCCAAAAAAAAAAACAGAAGCTGTATGACTGGGAATTGAAATAAAACAAACATTCACACAGCATACAGAATGACACACACACACCACCAAACACACACACCTAGGCAGGGCAGCACACACCCACAGAAAGACAGGGCGCTTCCAAACCACCACATATATATACACAACAAACAACACTGACCTATACACTTAATGAGCTGCAAATCACAGTTAGGAGAAATTATTGTATTATGAATGACAATAGATGAGTCATTAATGATTAGAGAGGTACTAAAAAAAAAGATAAAAAATGAGGGATTGTAATGCCAATCAACTACACGATTTTACAATTAATTTTAAGCTTTTGTTAAACCTTTATTGGACTGGTGCTTTAAAACGACATAGCACAGCCCAGTTCTCAGACGACTCAGCTCATGAAATGCACAGCTAATATCTGCCTGCTCTGCAAAAGCTTGCTATGCATATCTGTAAAAAAAAGCATAATATTGCAATTAAAAAAGACCATTACAGCCATATCACACTTTACAAAGGAAGTCTAAAATGTTTAGCAGAAAATTTAAAAAGACTTGACAGGGAAAACTAAAAGCCCACCGTTTGGGTGAAGCAACTAGAGTTACAGGTTGTCAATACCAACCCAAGACAAATCATTAGTGAGTCAGGGCTATGAAACACAGATATAAAGCAATTACCCAGATTCACACAAATGTCAATATTTACACAAGAGGAGCAAACTACATATTTTTCAAACTGAAAACATGCACACACAAGCCCTGAGCAAGCATTCCTCAGCCACCCAGCCATCCAGCCTTGGAGACCACACACACACTTCTCTCTCAGTTCTTGAGCCCGGTCAGAATACTTTGAACCAGATACAGAACTTGGCTTCAAATATTAATTGCACATATGTGTAGCTTAATTAAAACACATTTATGAAGTCAATAGCCAAGTTTACATCCACTTTTTGTTATCGACAAAATGAATATGCGTTAAAAAAAGATTGCGAAATTTGCTGTCTCCAGCCTGTTTCAATCCAATTGGCCCTTTACCTATAAAACGGTGTTTGATGATGTCAACCCTTAAAAAAACTGCATTGTTTAAAAACAAAAAAACAACCGCATTGTCGCATGGGTTGTTGTATTGCTTAAAAAAAACAACAAAAAAAAACATCGGCCCTCATATTTTCACGTATCGCAAATTATATTGTATCTGTCGCATCCCAAATATTTGTAAAATGCAGCGAGTAATGAGACAATTGGAATTCCCCAGTTTACTGCTTACTATTTTCATAAATAATAAGCCTATTAATAAATTAGGAAATATTAGGAAATCAAAAATCACGGTGTAGAGGGACAAGCTTGTCTGACAGGACTTTATTTGACGAACCCCATGGGTTTGGACACAGGGCAGCTCATTTGTCGTGTAGCCTATGCAAAATTTTAGGATCCATAAAAAAGATTGGTACAGTGAAATGTTTGGTCATACAGCAACAATCTTTAACGTAAGCCTTGAACATACAGTCAAGACAGTCGCGGTTTGATGTGAAAGTTGTTCGTTCTGATTTCAGAGTTCAGTAACATAAAATCGATCAAAAACTTCATATTGCTGCTGATTTTTGCAGACAGATGCAGTTTTTATTTGCGTAGGCCTATATTTAATCTTTTTTAATTGTCTATTGCTTAACTGATGCCTTCTTAATTCTAAAATTCGTTTGATTTAAAATTATATTGCATATTAATAAATTGTATTTATAAAATAGTATTATTAACAAGTGTCATGTCGTGAATTTCATTCGTCAATTAGCAAGCTTCAGACCATAAAATCGTAATTTTATGACATTAATTTTATTTATTCAGAAACAGAAGTAACGTGTATTTTACCTTTATTTTTGTCAGCTTTGGAAACTCCAACAGCCTTCTTTCGTTTGACAGACGCCACATTTTTAGTTTTAACGAGCTGCAAAGGTTTCCAAGGCACTATATTTTCCTCATCCATTTGTAACAAAACGTTATTATATATTATTCAATTGTATACATCAATTATTTTTATTAACAAGTGTCATGTTTTTTTGTAATTCGTTATAAAGACTATTTAGACTTATCATCAAGCAATATTCAGAAACGGGTGCAGTTGTATTATTTTTCTGATTAACTTTTATTAATAATTTATTTTATTGTAGATGGAAAAGAATGCTTCCTAATAGGCTTATTATTTTTTAAATGGGAGCAACTACTGCCTATTCCGAATGTATACACTGTATTAAAAAAAAAACAATAATAATATTATATATATATATATATATATATATATAATAGATTTAATGCACCTTTGAACTACAGAGAAATGGCGCTTTGACAGGAATAATGGCACGGACGTGGACCCTGTATAGGCTAATTATGTAATGTGACACCACATTTATTTGCATTAAAAAGGGATACTCCACCCAAAAATGAAAATCCTGTCATCATTTACTCACCCTCAAGTTTTTGCAAACCTGTATGTGTTTCTTTCTTCTGATGAAAACAAAGGAAGATATTTTGAAGAACGATTGGAACTTTGGCACCATTGACTTCCATAGTAGCCTATTTTTTTTTTTCTACTATGGAAGTCAATGGTGCCAAACAACTCTTTGGATCCAATCGTTCTTCAAAATATCTTCCTTTGTGTTCAGCAGAAGAAAGAAACTCATACAGGTTTGCAACAACTTGAGGGTGAGTAAATGATGACAGAATTTTTATTTTTGGGTGGAGTATCCCTTTAAAGCCCTTTTCACGGCAAAAAGTGTTTCCAAATTAGTTTTTCGCGACATTTGACCTAGAATTTACGTGCTAAAGGTAAACGGAAAAAGTATCGACATTTGCAAAAAATTATCGATAATTGGCATTTCCATCAGCTATATCAGTAAACATTTTGATGCTCTAAACATTTTTTAGCAAAAGAAAAAAAAAAAACAACCCTTGATGGAAACCTGGCTAATGAATGATTGCAACACATTCTGTAGCATGTTTGAATAAAATGTATGAAATAAGGCTCTCGTTGTTTTTTCAAATTTGCTTCCAGCAAAACTCTTAACGGGCTCAAAACGATCTTTGTAGAATGATAACTATAATAAAAATAATAATAATTAAAAAAAAAACAGTTTTCCATTGAAGTGAAGCTCAGGTATAATTTAAAATGATCAGCACATAGAAAGTTTTGGAAGGGTGGGCAAAGGCGGCAGTGTGCACTGATTCCCGCAGGCAGCAGTGACAGCAAATGATGATAAGAAGCAAGAGCAGTGCTCAATAGGGTGGAGTCAAGCTGTGGAGAAGGAGCTAAACATAGACAAAGGGTGGGGCAAAACAAGGAGAATCTTTTTCATTTGAGGTTTTGTCCTTTCAATCAGACCAGGGGCAGATGTCATCAAAACACATAAAACAAGCATTTAACATTCAGGCAAAATAGTCTAAGATATTCCTGGTATACTTTTTGCATGCTGCCAATGTCCATTCCAATGACATGATGACTCTAATACAGATAAAATGGATGAAATTTCTGCATATGAAAAAATATATACATTTATACAGTGGGGTCCAAAAGCGTGAGACTACAAATGAAAATCTGTGTTTTAGACTTGAGAGCTGCTGACATTAAAGCAAAAAGGACACAAACCAAAGACATTGTCTTTGAAATGTTCTGATAATTTTTCATTGTACACTACCATGTAAAAGGTTTGAGGAGAAATAGCTGCTGAGAATTCAGCTTTGCCATCACAGGAATAATTTGGTTTGAAATATTTTAGAATATTTTAAATTGTAACAATGTTTTACAATATTACTGTTTACTGTATTTACAGCCTCATTAAGCATTAAATACTTCTTTCAAAAACATTACAAAATCTTCTTGGTAGTATAACTCAAATTGCTCTGCTGATAATATAATTTGAATATACTGTATGAAATTAGAAACATGTAAAAGGGACACATTTACACTAGTGGTCTCAGGATTTTAGCACTGTATTTTGTACATCTCGGGCTGAAACAACTCTGCCTCTGCACTGAGATGTGTGAGCATGTGATTATTAAACCTTAAAAAAACCTTAAGACAATTTAGATTGATTTCACCAGCAATCTGTCTATATACTTTCAATGAGGTAACCAAGCTTTCCCCCACCGACTCCTCTAGAAGTGAGCCCTTCTTACCTTCACTGGCTGCAGGGATGAGTTCATCTGACTCAGCCTGCTGTCTTCTAGCTCAGCGGTTTCTAGTCTGTGCTGGAATGGAGTATTGACTATTACTCCTCCCTCGTCCTCTTCATCTTCCTCCTCCACATCATCATCCCTTTCATCCTCAGGGGTGTGAGCAGTAGGTGACAGGCCGTCATGACTGAAGCCTTGCAGCAGGGCGGCGACAGTCTCAGGTTTGGGCAACTTGGTGATCTTGAAGTGCTTTTTGTAGTGTGGTGTGTCTTTACGTATGAGCCGCTGTTTCTCGGCAGGTAAAGGTGGCGTTCGGGAGTCCTCATAGCTCCTTTCAGCATCATCTTCTTCATTCTCATCTTCCTCATCATCACCGCAACGAATGATGGGCTCTTCAGCAAAGTGCACAGTAGGCTGCGAATAAAAAAAAACTGTACTGTGAAAATGGTTCACTAACTTGCCAGTGCAGTGACTGGATTATTATTGCTCACCATCAAGGAAAAAAACTAAATCTTTTACAGAAGGAATTAACTGCAATGTATTTACACAAACCTAAACAATACAGTAGTGTCCATGTACAACAGAGTTCAGAGATAACATACTTAACCATTTACATACATGAGCAATAATGGAGCAGCTCACCTCAGAATACTCCACCTCCATCTCATCCAGCTCCTCCTCCTCTCGACACTGTCCATCATTAAGCTCCATCCCTGTACTGTTTATACCCCGCTTCTCGTCCTGAGAAGTGGCCGAGGCGGTGCTACTGGATGCCTGAGAATCATGACTTTGATTGGACAGCCCACTCAACCGTTTCTCCTGTGAAAAACCATCAAACATCAATAGGAATAACTTGACAGTTTATATCTAATATTTAAATAATAATTAGTAAACAGTTTGCATGTAATATTAAATTCAAATGTATTTAAATTATATTTAAATACAAATATTTTAAACAATACATTTAATAATAATAATAAAAAAGCCGTAAGCGACAATCATAAAGGGTCCAAGCACCAATGGCTCATGTGAACAATTAGGTGACAATTGAAATATAACTTCAAAAATGTGTTTTTTTTTACAGCAAAGTTAGTCTTCGTCCATCTCACAGGTGTCATGTGATTTTACAGTGGTGCTTGTATTTCTGCATAAATATGACCCAAACCATCATCAGATTTTCACACAAGTCCTAAAAGTAGACAATGAGAACCCAATCAAACAAATGAGACAAAATATTATACTTGATCATTTATTTATTTATTCATTTATTATTATCCAATATTACATATCTGTGAGTGGCAAAAGTATGTGAAGCTCTAGGATTAGCATTTCATTTGAAGGTGAAATTAGTCTCCACCTGTTCTGAGATGTTTCCAATCAATGGGATGACAATCAGGTGTCATTGTGTGCCCTTTTTTATTCAAAGAACAGGGATCTATTAAAGTCTGAACTTCACAACACGTGTTTGTGGAAGAGTATCATGGCATGGACAAAGGAGACTTCTGAGGACTTAAGAAAGAGGGTTGTTGTTGTTCATTAGGCTGCAAAAGGTTGAAAACCATCTTTAAAGAGTTTGGACTCAACAAATCCACAGTCAGAAAGATGGGGGAAATTCAAGACAATCGCTACCCTCCCCAGGAGTGGTCGACCAACAAAGATCACTCCAAAAGCAAGATGTGTAATAGTCTGCGAGGTCACAAAGGACCCCAGGGTAACTTCAAAGCAACTCAAGGCCTAATTCACATTGGCTGATGTTAATGCTCATGAGTCCACCATCAGGAGAACACTGAACAACCACAGTGTGGATGGCAGAGTTGCAAGGAGAACGCAACTGCTCTCCAAAAAGAACATTGCTGCCCATCTGCAGTTTGCTAAAGATTATGTGGACACGCCAGAGGGCTATTGGAAAAGTGTTTCCTGGACGGATGAGACCAAAATAGAACAATGAGAAGCATTATCACAGCATAAAGATGCATTTGAAGTGCTGCACAGGGTGTAAAATATCGGTGCTCTTTGGTTGCTTGGGATAGTAATGCTCAAAATCAAAGTAATAATCCAAGGCACTCGAGTTGTGTATACAAAAAAGTAAAAAGCCTTTATTAAATCATGGCTTCTATCATTAAAATTGGTGACAGATACACCTACGCGTTGCGGCTATCGCCTTCGTCAGGGTGTGTGTAACAAACAAAGTCACAAGTGCATTTTAAATAGCAGTTCATTAGTCTAAATAGCAAACACCTGGTCACACACTACGCAAGGTAACCAGCAGGGAGCAGAATTCAACAAATGAAATAGTATATTGCATAATATCAAGCCAAATCAAACTCAAAAAAAAAAAAAAAAAAAAAAAAAAAAAAGATATATACATATACATATATATATATATATATACACATACATATACACATACACATACATACATATATACACATACATACACATACATACATATACACAACAAAAAAAAAAAAAAAAAAAAAAAAAAAAAAAAAAATTATACATATATATACATATACATATATATACATATACATATATATATACACATACATATACACATACACATACATACATACATACACATACATACAAAAAAAAAAAAAAAAAAAAAAAAACTTTAATTGAAATATTTTCAGCAATATCTAGATTACATTATACAAATCAAAACATAACAATAAAATAAAGTAGAGCAAAAAAAACATATCAAAATATACACGTCAATGGAAGTATACATCTAATGGTACACAATACAACTAATTTCATGAAAAATTTCACAGAAATGGTACAAAATCTAATTCTCCATTTAAACCTGGAAATGTGGTGGCTTTCAGTGAGTAAATCCAGAAAGATTCTCTTTGTAGTAACTTCTTAACCCTATCCCCTCCTCTTATGGACTTGGGGATGTGTTCAATACCGATTATCTTGAGTGTATTAGGACTACCATGGTTTGTATCTCTGTAATGAATGGCCATAGGATATAGAGGGTTACAGATTCGAATGGCGTTTTTATGCTCTGATAATCGTATCTTTAGTTTTCTAGTCGTCATCCCTATATAGAAACATCCACATGGACACTCTAACCTGTAGATCACAAATGAGGTATTACAATTAATGAAAGATCTTATTTTCAGTTCGGAGTCAGAGGTTACGTCTCTAAATGTTTTTGTCCTGATCATATTATCGCAGTGATTACAGTTGCCACACCTGTAATTTCCTGCACTTGAACTTAACCAGGTATTGGCTTTCTTAGGAGAAAGATGACTTCTCACTATTTTGTCTTTAATTGTTGGTGCTTTCCGAAATGCAATGGAAGGAGATTCGGGCATGACTTCCCTGAGATAAGGGTCACTCATAACTATTTCCCAATTCTTCTTTATAATTTTCTTAATTCTGTTTGCCTCTGTGCTATACTGTGTCACGAAATATACAGAGTTATCTGGATCCTGTGATTTACGTTTTTGTTGTAATAGTTCGTCTCTACTGATGTTTCTCACTTTATTGTATGCTTTGTTAATCACGCTATTTTTGTAACCCCGTTCCTTAAATCTTTGAGTCATGTCTTGTGCTCTGATGTTAAAATCTTCTTCCTTATCACATATTCGTTTCAGCCTCTGGAACTGGCCAACAGGAATATTCTCGGTCATCCATAAAGGATGAAAGCTATCTGCTCTCAATATAGTGTTTCTGTCAGTTTCTTTTCTAAATATAGTAGTATGCAGCGCACCACTACTTTCTTTGAAGATTTTTAAGTCCAAGAAATTAATCTGAGTATGTGAATAATCAAGACTCAGCTTCAGATTTACATTGGTATTATTAAGATAAGCGTGAAAAGCTATTAAATCCACCTCCGATCCTGTCCATATCAATATAATGTCATCTATATATCTGCCCCACCACTCCACATATTTTAAATATGGGTTTAAGTCAGAAAATACAAAATTCTTTTCCCAAAATCCCAAAAACAAATTTGCATAATTAGGGGCAAAACATGCACCCATAGCTGTACCTTTAATTTGTTTATAGAATTTATCTTGAAACAAAAATATGTTGTTTTTCAATGTCCATTCCGCTAGTTGTATAATAAAACATGCAGGTGTCCTTTCGGTAGATGATCTCATATCCAGATAGTATAATAGTGCTTCCAGTCCATCTTTATGGTCTATGTTTGTATACAGTGATTCAACATCCATGGTTACCAAAATAGATGATTCAGTAGTTTTAGTCTTTTTAATGGTATTTAATACATGGGTAGTATCCTGAATAAATGAAGGAAGTTTTCCAACCAATGGTTTGATAAAACTGTCAACAAATTTTGAAGCTGGCTCTGTAATAGATTCATTTCCACTAATTATAGGTCTCCCTGGCGGATTTTCAAGATTTTTATGTATTTTAGGGAGCATATAAAATGTAGGAATCCTAGGATTTTTACAGGAAAGAAAATCACATTCATTTTTTGAAATCCATCCCTCATCTTTAGCATGTGATAAAATATCAGTCAGTTCATTTGTCATTACTTCTATTGGATTGGATCTCAGGCACTTAAGCATTATGTTAGGAGAAAGAAAAACACTGCATTCCACCATCAGAACCTTATCCTCTCTCTGAAACATGGTGGTGGCAGTTTCATGGTTTGGGCCTGTTTTGCTGCATCTGGACGATTTGCCATCATTGATGGAACAATGAATTCTGATTTATACCAGTGAATTATAAAGGAAAATGTCAGGAAATCTGTCTGTGAACTGAATCTGAGAAAGTGGGTCATGCTACAAAGACAACAACCCCAAGCACACAAGTCGTTCTACAAAAGTATTGTGCAGGACTGATCAGCAGTAACCAGAAACATTTAGCTGCAGTTATTGCTTCATAAGGGGGTCACACCAGATACTGAAAGCAAGAGTTCACCAACAGATATGTAATACTGGATCCTTTCCCCCGATAAATATTATATATTTTTGTCTCATTTGTTTGATTGGGTTCTCTTTGTCTACTTTTATGGCTTGTGTGAACATCTGATGATGTTTTGGGACATATTTATGAAGAAATATTGAAAATTTTAAAGGGTTCACAATCATTCAAGCACAACGGTATGTGAAGAGCAATATATTTTCATGTCTGGCATCTTGACTGATTCTTGGTAAACTAATTTATTATTACCCTGGAAAAACAACCAGGATGAAACGTGAGGGAAGAGGAATAAGAGAATCCATGCGTGTGTGACGTTAATAGCATTAATTAAGTCGAGACTCCTCTCTGATCATAACTTACATTCCGGAAAATATAATATATTGTCAGTGTGCTATAATTGGTTCTATGCATTTATTTCCATTCAAAGTGATGGAAACTGATAAAAGCACATTCAAACCCCTAATAAAATAAAGTAAAATAAAACTAAATAATTGTGCCTTTGTTTGCTTTTACCTCAGAGTCCGGGGACTCCAGACCCTCATCTGGTTTGGCTGTATAAGCCTCATTTCTTCTGGCTTCAATGACATTCTTCATCACCTTTAACTCACTAGGATGTGGTGTGGCTCTCCTCTGAAGACCCTGCTGGTTCACATAATACAGAAAGAGAATTAGCACATGTACACAATTTCATGTAAACATCTGTTCAGAAATTATAAACATCATGTACACATTTCCACACTCACCCTCCTCTCTGCCGCTGTCTCCTCATCTTCCTCTTCGTGTTTGGAGTCATCCCGGAACTGAATGACTGATACCCTGTTCAAATTAGTGTCTGTGGGCCAGGTTTCATCAACGCTCCTGTCCAACAGATTCTCTGCAAAGAATATTACAAAATATTATAATATGATGTGTGTCATGGATTCACTATGTATGTAGTACCAGCTTCAGACAACATGGCCATGGACCACCCAAAGTCCTTTTTACTGACATTCAATGCACTTTTGCAAACAAGTACTTCCTGTTCTAAACTGATTACTGTAGTTTCCATTAAAAATGCCAGGAACCTGACAGGTATTCAACCTACGAAACAACCTACGTCTGCTCCTGCCTAAGCGAGTGTTTCTTGGCTAGAATAAGGTGCAATGTGGGCTAGGTATGCGCGCTCATAATGGAAGCGACGCGCTCGTTTTTTCCAAGCGCGTCCGCGCCGCATCTAGATAAAAACATCTCTACTTTTCAGAATGCCGCAAACGCACCGTAGGTCAAGTGACAAGAACTAACAGAGCAACGACAGACGCCTCCGGAGCGCAACCGCCCTAGCGCTTTGGAAAAAGGAGAACGCGGCGTGCAACTTTCAGCTTTCAGTGCAACGTAAAAAAAAAAAAAAAAAAAAAACAGCGGAATGTTTTGGTTACGCAAGTCTGTGGAAAACCAAATGTGACGTGCTCTCAAGAGTTTCAGTCAGTGAACATTTAACTTAATATCCTATTGCTTTCTCCTGTCTGTGTTGAGTAAATGTTAGGCTTTGTAGTTTTAATATGCCCGGTGTAAAACACTAACATAAGATCATGTAGACTTCTAGGACTACCAATTAACTGCATTTCAGTTATTAATAACACTGCATGAGAGATGTTCTCAGTTACTTTCTATAATTTTTACTTAAACTTCAAACAAACATCAAATTATTTAAAAGTTATTTTAATTTGTAATAATGTAAAAAATAATGAGATTATAATAGATGATTTTCTAAAGGCACATGTAAAATTTGGATTAATAATTAAAAAAAGAGTATTAAAATAAGTACAATAATATTGGTGGATAACATTTGGACTATATTTGTTTTATTTTAAAAGAAATACATAGGCCTAATATTTAGCTTGCATTTAATTCAAGAGCCAGCCAAATACTTTGTTTATTCTTATTTTCATTGGGATTTATTATCCCTTTATTTATGTTTTTAAGTCAAATACCAACAAGATATTGTTTTCATGTTATCAAGTTTTCTACCTCAGGTTGAAAATAAATTTAGAACAAACTAAAAACTTAATAATTTTGTGATCTATTTCAATCAAAGAGTCCTGCAGCCTTTGGCTTAATTTGTTATTTTTAAAAGAAAAATGCTGGATGTTTACAAAGCACTTCTCTTTAATTCCAAAGGAAGAGATTGATTATTGTTTGCCATTTTATAATTTTGTACTGTGTTGTGGCAGCAATAAATAACACATTAAAATCTAGTGTTGAGTGTTCATGTGATATTATACATTAGTAGTGTTGTGAAATTAATTGATGCATAATAATCGTGATAATCGTTAAACCGTGATTATTTCTCAGACAATAATCGTACTTAGAAAATCTGTAATCGTTGCATCCCTATTCAAGACCTCCTTTATCATGTGGATAAGTATCTTGAGTCAATTCCGTTGTTTTTTCGAGAAAATAATGGGTTGTCTTAACAGTAACTTCCAAAAGCCCATGAGAAACCAAGGCAGAACACCGTAACACCAGTTACGGCTCTTTGGCTTAGTTTTGGAACGCTCATATTGAGTTAAGGCACTCTGCCTTTGTCTAGCCGCGCGTCAATATGAAGTTACAGTGCCGGTGTTCTATAAAATAATGCTACCTATCAGATTATACGGTGTTCTGCCTTTGTTTTACTCTCCATTAAAATTTAAATGACGATGTAGCCTGTGCACTTTGTACAGCTGACATCAGTCCCTGTAACTTCTGATGTCCTCAGAGCTTTGTCCTGCTAAAATGCGGTCAGAACATTTAGTATGGTCTGAACCCGCTCCATCGACAAACGTGCGATATCCATCGCGAAGGATATATGCAGAGTTGACAGAAAAATGTTACACATGCCATAGCAGATGAATACAACAAAAAACTAAAGCCCCTCACCCAGTTCGGGTACCGGACCTGGTTGAAACTAGGGATGTGCACGAATATTCGAATTTTCGAATATTCGATCTGTAATTATTATTCGAAAAATAAAATACTATTCGAATTTTATCGAATTTATGAAGCCGTAGCCTAAATGCTTTGCTGGCCGTAAATGCAGTGAATCCCTGATAAATCCCAAGCACTAACTCGCAGTTATAACTAAATCCTCTGGGTGGCGCTGTGGTGCGTGTTTAACAAGTTGTTTGTATTTGATCACATAATGTCGTCGTCGTCTGCCTCGCGAAGTTTGGAATTAGACTACTAGTTGAAAATTATGTTACTAAATGATCTTACAGAAGGGAATTACTTTTGATCAAATGAATTAATTAATCTGAGTTATAATATCATCAACACAATGAGAAATCACATGAAATCCAAACAGCAGGCGACTGAGGAAAGACAGCTGTCCATCACTACGACTGCAGGTAAGCGCAGCTGTAGCGCGCGTGATCCGAGAGATGATACTAATCTAATAGCAAAAACATTTTTTTAGACATATACTTCCCTTAAGTTTCATTGAGAGAGACACGTTTAAGAACAGAAAACGCAAAGTGCTGTTAGAAACTTATAACATCGTAACCGTTTGTGTCTCTGAATCGTCTGTCAGTGCAGCGCGTTTTCTCACTCGAGCATAAATTGCTGGCGGCGCCCCTGCATGTGGACATTATTGTTTTTCTCAACATAAACGTGAAACAATATACACGATAATCATGCTGACTCGAGTGTGTGTGTACGTTCTGTTCGATATCTGGCGCAGTCTTCTACTCTGCTTTATTAGGCGTTTTTTTTTCCCCGCTCGCGCTGCTTGAGCTTAAATCCTTTTGTTATTTATATTTTGTTTACACATAGGCCAACTGTTTAATGTTTTCAACTAAAAGAAAACTTAAACATATATTGTAAGCTGTATTGCCTAATCGTAAGCTTGTTAAGAAATGGTGACAAAAACGTTTTGAAAAATGTACTTAAAAAATAACGTCTTTTTCGTTAAATGCCATTCAAATAGGCTAAACGAATATTCGATTTCTATGAGCCCGAATATTCGAATGCCTTATTTTTGAAAAATGCCCATCCCTACAATCATGCATCTAGCTGGCAGAGTGCCAAAACTTCGCCAGCGCCTTCAGCACCTCCCTGAAAACGGTCGAGCCGTGCTGGTGCATACAACATCAGACCAGCTGTTACAACAAGCGGGTTGTACCTACAATCACAGCGTCCGGAATAAATCTGCGGGACAAGCGAAGTGCACAAGCACAATAATAGGGCAGACAGCTGAAACCACCGCTACTGAAAAGACGCAGAACACAGAAGGTTGTGCTATAAATGCATTAGTCGTCTGTAGTCGTAGTCCAGAGCGCGCTCCCCACTGAGTCTCAAGGGGGAAAGCACTGCGTTCATACTTCGTACTTTTAGTGAAAGTACGAGGAGCATGACACCTTCAAACACGAATATACTATAAACCAGTCCCTGGGTCGAATGTGCGCGAGGATCTGTTTTATAGTGATCATTTTAAATGTGCGTTTATCAAGTCTTATCTAAGACACTCTTTAGGGACCGGTCGGTATTTATGGAAAGGGCCACCGGAGGAAAATAGGGGAGGGTCATGTCTTTTTATTCTTTATTGAGGGGAGGGTCATCCAACTTTTTTTAGTCTAGGGGGAGGGTCACCCAACTTTTGTATTCATGAAAACAGCTCAATTTCAAAGTGGCTTGTTTGGTGCATATTTTTTCCATGTAGCTCTCTCGGTCCCCCATCGCTATCAGATGGGTCTGACCTAGACATGTGCCGGTATTCGGTAATGCGATAAATCGCGGTAATGAATATGCACGATATTGTTATCGCGGGGACTTCGAAATACCGTGAAAAATAATAGATCCGAATTTAGATTTTTAGAACGCGCATCAGCTTATTTTCCATCAACCGCTTAAAAAACAATGCGTATGCTGCGCAAAACACGTGCGCACTTTGATGTAAACAATCCCCACATCACATGTATAAGCACTGTGTGCATGCAGTGCGCACTCTAGTCTAATGTAAACAATCCTCAAGTGGAGAAGAAGCACGGCGGAAGGAGGAACGCTGCCGACTATTTATCCCCCGCATGGCTGCCAACTCTCACGCATTCAGCTTGAGACTCACGCAATTGACACTTTCACACGGTCTCGCGCCACACATCCATTTTCTCACGCAGAGAAAAATCGCGGAGCAAAGAGGACACTGACACCGACAGACTAGACAGAGCAGGTTACTTTTGATATGAAAAAAACATCAGCTCTCAGGTTCTGTCCATTTTATAACGAAATTCAGACAATAAATACTGTTTTGCTGCTTGTAAATGTGACGTGACAGATCGCGCGCCTCAGTTCAAGTAAACCGATCATCTGTTACTTTTTATTAAAGATACAGTACAACCCACCGAAAGGTACGTACTTTCGATCAATCAGTGTTTTTCAACCACGGAAAGAGGTCAATAAAACTGCAGGAGAACAATTATGTCACAGAACGTTACATTTACCTCAGGAAAGCCATTTAATGTTAGTTGACTATAAGAAAATAGCTATAGAGAGGAGTATTTTGCTAAATATGTGCACTATATTACATATTTTAATATATGTTTACTTGTCATTATATAATTGTTATTATAATGAAAATTACGGCATATTACATTTTTATATTTATATTATTATTATATTTATATTGTATGCATTATATTTAATTTCTCTCTGTATGTTTACAGCATTATGTGAGATATTTTTTCTTGAGAAAAATTTAAATGCAGGCTATCTACTGTAGCCTACCTAATATTTATCCAAATGAGTCAATATTGAATCAAGATTGAAATTAAATCCAAGAATTTAATTGAAATCGTGAAAATTGTGTTAAGCAATAATACAAACAGTAGCCTCAGTAACTGTACCATGTAAACATTGTAACATGTTGTCACTAAAAAATAAAATTAATGTTTTGACAATCACAATTACACATTGTGATGCAAGTTTTTTTTAGATACCCCCAATCCATCTGTTTCTCTTGTGCAATTAAAATATCGTGATAATACCGTATACCGTGATAAAAGCTCAATCAATTAATCGCAGCATGAAAATTTGATACCGGCACATGCCTAGTCTGACCCAACAAAAATCCAGTCTGGCGCTGTTTGACAGTGCGCGCGCGCTTCAGTAGCGCTCAGAAAAAGTGCATTAGAACAGAACGCCAATGAAATGTTTACCCGGCAAAGCTTTAAAGCACGAGCAAATAATGAACTTTTGTGATTGCGAATAAGTGCAGTGTCCTGTGAGTGCTACTCTACCGCTGCATTAACATGTGATGTGAATGTACGTCGAGTTTTACAGTATTGGGACTGAGGCGCCAGAACTGCAGCTGATATAATGTGCGCTGTAGCACGATACTACCATATTTTAGTTTCCATTCTTATTGTGTTTCCACAAAAAATCTTTAACTTTTAGGTGGCAAAATATTTTTTAGTCATTCTATGAACTACGTTGCGCAAAACAAAAGTAATACTACCCGCCGGATGAAGAAGGGTCGGCCTCCACATAACATAAAATATTCTTTTTATTTTATTTTTCGTGTTCGCATTTATGAGGGGGGAAAAATGCTCTGAAAGTGACTTTAAAACTTTCACAGAGACCTCAAAGAGAAAGCACAAACCCTTTCTTTAAAGTGAATTAATTTTTTTATTAATTGTATCTTAATTTTAATCAATGTTTCATCAACCAATTGCCTGGATTTAATAAATAAGAAGTAAATGTAGTAGAAACATCAGAGAAAGCAGGAGTTTAGTCGTTTGTCATGGTTGTAAAAAAAACCATGGCTATCTGAACATCTTTGCCAAGCGCAAACCAGTACAGAAGTAATCAATAAATTATCGGGGAGGGTCATGCCTTTTTTCACAATCATTTTTGGAGGGTCATAGAATCTTTTTTGACTACAGATCTCAAAACTCCTCCGGTGGCCCCTTAAATAAAAAACGGCCAGTCCCTTACCGCTATGGAGGTATTTTGTCATGTCTAATGTATTAATAATGCCACCAGAATGCAACCAAAGCACAGGGTAGCAATAAGTAGATGTCTATAAGTAATTGTAAATCATTCAAAATAAATGCCATGATCACTAGATTTTATACAGGTGTTACTATAATGATTTTGTTAATAGTGATCAGCAACCAAATATTGATAATGAGGAAGTTACTGCCTTTTGCCTTGGCATGACTTCTCACTTTTTGCTGACAATACAAAGGCAGAGTACAGTAACTTTAAAATAGTGGTCAAAAGTCAAGTTTGAGCTCAAGATGTTTTTATGTAGATAATTTGCATTACTAAAACATCTAATTGCCAGCTTTCCAGTATCCTACCTATAATTAATTTGGCGGGACAACAAAATCTTTAAAGTCATTTTTCTCAGTTCCACACTCTAACGACTAGTTAAGGTCTTTTACCTTTGTAGGGCAGTATGGGTGTGACTATAACCTGCATGACAGCTCCATACATGAGAATGGTGGAGTGTCTTACCGAGGCTTGATGAGGGTTGCTGGGGCAGCAGGTAGCAGGTGAGAACTTTTTCTCCAGTCTGCTCATCATCCTCTGTCTGGAATTTCAGCATGGGCTGAGACTGGTTCTCTGCCAGCCACATGGCCTTCAGGTTCAGATTGGCCAATGCAAACGGTAAATTCTGCAACCTGCAATAGAGAGCAATAAATAGAGAAACTTCAGTGCATGAAACACACAGTCAGTAAAAACTCTTATGGTCACTCTGACCATCTCACATCCAAAACCTGTGATAAGGAGACTGACAGTTTCGTCTACAGAATGTATTTTTCACCTGTTGCCTGCCACATCCAGCACGTGTAATTCTGTGGCGTTGGCGAGCTCAGCGGGTAGTTTTCCCAACCGGTTATCTCTGAGGGAGAGTACGTTCAAGCTGACGCATCCTCCCAGCTCTGCTGGGACGCTGCTCAAGCGGTTTCGGTCCACATTCAAGTTGGTCAACTTCTTCAGCTTCCCGAGTGAGCGAGGGAGGGACTGAAAGTGAAAACAGCATAAGGAAGTTTTCACAATGGGCTCTGCTCTGACAATTTTGCTCATTTGCAATTTTGGACGAAAGCATCCCCTAAACACAGGGATGCAAACTCTAGGGGGTCCGGGGTCATGCCCTCTGGGAAGATTTTTTCAAAATATCAGTAAAAAAAAAAAAGAAATGTGTCTTTACAGTTGGTACAGTTGGGGGGAGGGAACTCACCCTAGAACCTATTTAGTTAATAAAAAATCTATTAAAAAAAATCTCTACTTCAGTTGTTTCAGGCCACATCCACGCTGTTGTTTTTATGGAATCCATTCAATATTACTTTACAATAATACAAAAATAAATATCCTTTTAACAATAAATATATACATGTTTTAATACATTAAAAAAATTAAACAAAGCAATAAAGAAATGTATTATAATAACAATAATACCCCAACCCCCAATTCCAAAAAATCTGATCTACACAAACACTGTGAAAAAGCACTGTGACAGTATAATAATATAGAAGTGATACAGAAAATATAATGTAAGGCTCCAAAAGCAGCTTCACAGAATTAGAAAGTCCAGTAAGTAAAATGAAATCAGACAGTACAGAGATCAGGTGGTGTGGGGTTGTGTACCTGGAGAAGGTTCTCAGTCAGCATGAGCTCTGTCAGGTTCTCACACTCGCCAAGAGAGTCTGTGAGATGCACCAAGCGGTTCTGGTTCACTTTCAGAATTGACAACTTCTTAAGTGAGCCTGTTAGGAAAAACATTCCGGATATAAAGATTTCACCTGTGCTTTGAGAACTAAAGACAATACATACTCAGTAACAGCTGTAATCAAATCAAAACAGTTTCAAGATGAACACTGAGGACAAAAACATCACTGAAAAAAACTGAACAGTATCCATAAGATGTAATAACATGAAACAAGTCTGCTGACACTAGAGGGCAGTGCTGTGATTACCAAATCAACAGAAATGTTTCTCAGTGGATTAGAGCAAAGAGAAACAGAATTTAAAAAATCAACTAAGACCATAATGGTTTAAAAAAGTTCTAATTTTCCAATTTGCACACTTTTACAGTACTAGAATTGTGCCTTATTGTCCAAAAAGAAACCAACTATTTGATCATTTTCATTGTCTCCTCAAGGGAAGATTGACAAAACTAGCATTTTTTCAAAATGTTCACCAGGCTAATCACAACATTCATAAGTTAATAAGTTAAATGTCAACATCCAGTGAGCATATAATGTAGCAGACTGAAATCAAAAGCGATAATTTTGAGTAAAGATGAGGTTGTCACCATATAGGGGCTGATTTCATTTAGACTGGGCAACACATTGTTTTCAGTAAGATGAATAAGAGGCAGGACAATGTGTTTATTGTAACGCAGCTATGTCTCTATACAAAAGCAAGGACAATCTAGTATTTATTGATGTTTGTAAGAGGGATATAGAGTTTCACCAATGCTGTCCGGCAAGACTTCGAGAACGTTCTCGGAGAGCAGCAGGTCTGTGAGGGCAATAAGGCCGCTGATCTCTGTGGGAAGCTCTGAAAGACGGTTTTCTGACACGTCCAAGCAAACCAGCTGCCGCAGGTTTCCCAGCTCCTGTTAAACACAGAGGTCATCTTTCAGTCAGCCGAAAGTGAATTAAGGCACTTTACTTTCCACTTCAGTTATCAGCAGAAAAGGCACATGCCAAATGCAATCAACTGCACCAAAGGTAAACAAGGTCTGAAAAGGACAACATCTGCATGAATTTAAACTAGATATGTAACATCATCCAGACAAATGACCCATATGAAAATCAGCCAGTCAGAAGCGGTCTATACTCACAGGAGGTAGTGAGGAGAGCTGGTTTCTGTCCAACCATAGCTCACGAAGATTGGGCAGTGCCCCAAGTGTGTCAGGCTGAATGAAAGAAATATGAATAGCAGATTAAAGACACAGAACATGGGAAAAAAGAGGAATTATATGAAAAGCAGCAGATAATAAAGAAAAAAAATGATAATATTAAACTATATTTTCCTCAGCAGGTGCTCAGGTGTTAGTTAAGTAAAGGAAATGATAATCAGAGATCCACTGGGGCAAACAAAAATAACATGCTCTAAATAAACTTGAAAACATGGCATGCATGTATTTTACAGCTAAAACAACTAAATTGATCTCAGGACTGCTGAGATATGACCAAAAACCATCTGTTTCTTACCAAAACTTCCAGTACATTGCTGCCCAGATCCAGCTGTTCCAGTTTAACCAGGAAGGAAAGAGAGCTAGAGGATGATAGAGACATTTCACATTTGATGTCATTTGCTTTGCATTAATTAAAAAGATTTTGGGGGTTAATTCAGAACATGAACACTGTGGATCTAATGACTGCAGTTTATTGGGGTAATACTCACGAGGGTAAAGATTTCAGTAGATTCTCCCTCAGTTCTAGAGTCACCAGGTTTGACAAGCTGAGAGGAGAAAAAGAAAGACGAGACTGAGTGGTGTGTCACTTGATTTGGAAGAGTAATGGGCTCTTCCATCTGTACGACATCAACGGTGGTCAAAACCGTGTGTGTACATGTGCAAGATGACTGAGAGAGAGATTGTGTCTGTATGTGGATAGGATCCCTGCTTTATTTTATAATTCTCACTGCCTTTTGTAATTATAATACAGACATTTTAAATATTCTAAAATAACATGCACATGTATTCCTCTTATCCATACCTTTTGTTAAATATTGCATAAAAGCATACAGTACCATATAAATGTATGACATAACTGATACATATTATGATGGCTGCTTTGTACATTTATAATGATTTTAAAGTCAGCATGAAATGAAAATTCCCCATCTATTTTCTAAAAGCATGTTATAAATCTTATTGTGAACGATTCATCCATGTACAGGTTAATCGAAATTTTGACCTCATAATATTTAATCAAAATGTGTCAACCCGATCATCTGGTGAAAACGACGATCTTCTCCAAGACTTCTCCAAAGTTCGCTTAACAATCAACTGCAAGCTTGCATTCATTTTTGAGTGAAACACCCATATTAGCAAAAGACCCTGTCCTCTATTTTGTATCTGATAATCGGTTACATTCGAATGTACGACAATACAGAAGAAAATATCTGTCGCTACTTCTGTTTTATCCTGACTTTAATGACTTTGCAGTGTCAAATACATTTAAATTTAACTTAATACATTTTACTATGGAAGGGACACAATAACTGGCAGACCACCTGCAACAGAGCATGTTCATATTAACTTACTTTCCTATGTCATTGGGTAGAGACTGCAGCGACACATCATTGAGTGATAGGTGAGCCAGTCCTCTGAGCTGTGTGAAGCCATCAGGCAACCTGAGACCGAGAGACAAAAAGAAAATGAGAGACACAATGGAAAAGGCTTGAACTGTAAAAGCAGTTACCACTAGCAGCAGCACTCGTCGTCTTCCTGCTTAAATGTAAATAAGGAGTAGGAAGCACTCGTGTGATGAATAGTTGACATCCTCCAATGGCTATAAAAATAACATTACAGCATTTTAACAAGACATGATCATTTGTAACCATGTTTTAATGTCAATATTTCTTCTCCCTCCCCAACTTTTCTACACCTTTCATAAAGTGTCATTTGATATGAGCCAGAGCTTTGAGGGATTTGGGGGTTCCTCCAACCCACTAACCTGGTCAAGGGGTTTCCGCTGAAGTCTGCAATCTCCAAGGCCTGACATAATTTAATGTTTTCAGGAATCTCAGAAATATCTGAGACAGAAAGGGAGAGAGAGAGAAAGAGAGAGAGAGAGAGGGGGGCAAAGTCAGCAAGATATAATGGAAGGAGTGTCAAGACAAAATAAGCACTTTTTCAGGCTTCTTAATAATGGCTACCAGATGGCCTGAAAGAAAGGGAGGAGAGGGTGATTTGACTGTGGTGAGAGTTGTCTGAATGTGTGTTATATGGGATCCGAGCCACACATACAGGACCCAGCGAGAGGTGCTTCATTTGCTGAGTTGCAGAATATAACACTGAGTAGTCTAAATGCAGACCAACATGCTCAACATTCCCACAGTCAATCCTGAGACTAACAGTGAATGTGCCTCGGGCTGTGAGGCACACGAGAAGACAATTGGGCGTTAAAATTGATGTACATTTTTTAAACAGACGTGGCTCAAAGAAAACATTCCAGTGCTCTGTATAAGGAAACATACAGGATGTGCAAGAAAGTGTGTACATATCTCTAGATGGGAGCAGTTTGAGAGAGCAGGTCTATTTTTCCGGAGCAAGGCACTTAAGGAGGGTTTGCATACCATTTCTGGAGATGTCCAACTCAACCAGCTGTGTGAAGTTGGCAACTTCGGGCGGCAATTTTTGAATCTCGTTGTCACTGAGGCCCAGCTTTCGCAAATTGTGCAGTTTGAAGAAAGGCTAAACGGGAAAGAAAGCACGAATTAGACACACACTTACTGGCCAGACTAGTTCATCAAGGGAAGCACATATACACCCACTGGTCACTTTATTAGGTAAACCTGTCAATTGCTTTTTAACTTAAATATCTAATCAGCCAATTACATTGCAGCAACTCAATGCAGTTAAGATGTGTTCAGTCACACCATGTCATAATTACCACAATTACCGCAATTCAATTACACAACAGTGGTGCCATAGAAACGCATAATTCCCAGTCTGAGGACATGAACAGCTTTGAATATAACGTCAGGTATTGTCATTTTGAGACTACGGTAATTACAACATGGTGTGTATGCAGCATTAGGCATGTAGTAGACATGATCAAGGGTGAGATGCTGAAGTTCAAACTGAGCATCAGAATTGGGAAGAAAGGTGATTTAAATGAGTTTGAACGTGGTGTTGTTGGTACCAGCTGGTCTGAGTATTTCAGAAACTGCTGATCTACTGGGATTATTCATGCACAAGCACAACCGAACCATCTCTAGGGTTTACAGAGAATGGTCAGAAAAAGAGTAAATATCCAGTGAGCGGCAGTTCTGTGGGCGAAAATGCCTTGTTGATACCAGACATCAGAGGAGAATGGCCAGACTGGTTCAAGCTGATAGAAATACAACAGTAATGCAGAAGAGCATCTCTGAACGCACAACACGTCGAACTTTGAAGCAGATGCAGCAGTAGAAGATCACACCGGGTCCCACTCCCGTCAGCTTATAACAGAAAAATGAGGCTACAATACACACAGGCTCACCAAAATTGGACAATAGAAGATCAGAAAAAAAATGTTGTCTGGTCTGATGAGTCTTGATTTCTTCTGCGACATTCAGATTGTAGGGTCAGAATTTGGCGTAAACAACATGAAAGCATGGATCCATCCTGCCTTGTATCATTGGTTCAGGCTGGTTGTGTAATGGTGTAGGGGATATTTTCTTGGCACACTTTGGGCTCCTTCGTTTAAACACCACAGCCAAACTGAGTATTGTTGCTGACCATATCCATCCCTTTATGACCACAGTGACCCATCCTCTGATGGCTACGTCCAACAGGGTAATGCGACGACAAAACTCAAATCAAACTGGTTTCTTGAACATGACAGTGAGTTCACTATCCTCAAAAAGCCTCAAATAAAAAGATTAAACCCTTAAAAGGGTAGATTTTGGGACAGTTCACCCAAAAATTAATCAATTTATTTACTCTCGTCATTCCAAACCTGCATGGCTTTCTATCTTCTGCGGAACAAAAAAGATGATATTCGAAAGAACCATTTTGGTGACCACTGACTTCCATTTTATGAAAAAAATAAAAAATCATCATCTTTTATGTTCCACAGAGGAAATGACAGCCATACAGGTTTGAAACAACATGAGGCTGAGCAAATGATAATTTTCATTTTGCGGTGAACAGCCACTTTAAGAGCACTCTCTTGAAGAGCGCCTCCCCTTTAAGAGCTCATGTCAATTGGTTATTGCTCGTGAAATGTGAAAAATAACTACAGGCAAATCGGTATCTGGCATAACAGTAAATGCCCCTTTTTTTTTTGCATAACAGGCATTATATTCTGACAGATTTGTAGAAACCAGGGTGCCTGGTAACAATGAAAAATCCAGATGGGTCAAGCACAACTAGACAAACTGCATGGTGAAAAACATTAGATAAATGACAGATTTACAACAAGCTATTATACAGTCATTCTTCATTTACACAGGCATTCATCCACTTGTCCACTTCAATTGCAAATGACAGTTTGACAAAAAATTAAGCAAAACTAGTTTCTTTTGACTTGAAAGTAACATCTTGCATACTTAAGTAATGACCACCACTCAACAATCTGACCAGAGCTCATCTCCACACACTTCTCTAAACAACTAACAATAATGTAAAGGGAAGGCAAAAGTGAGCGTGTCAGTGACTGAACACCAGGCGTCTCTATCAAGAGTTCGCTTGTTAGCTGGTCACATTCAGTACATTCCTGCTGCCGCGGCCCATCATGCCCTCTCCTCTCTGCATGCTGGGCTTGCTGCTGAACAGCACCAACAGAGGGCTTACTATGTACTGCCAAGAACAAGGCTGATACTGCGGTGTGTGTGTGGTTGCTTGTGGTCTCTGAACAGAAATTCTGATTCACTGATACAAAAGAACAAAACATCAAAACTCTTTGTAAAAAGAGAAAATGGATGCAAAATAAAAATGAAGGATGAGAACAATGTGATTGGGACTTCAGCAGACTTCCTATGGAATTCAAGATGACAAACAATTTACACATGCATAAGATAAAACTACTAAAACTCAAGAATTTCTTTTCTTTTTTTTTCTTTGAAGAACGATGATTCTCTCATAAAACTTAGATCACACTTTTAAACTTAGGCAACGCAACCTCATATATCCATCCATCCACTTTCAAGGTTTGTATCACATTGAGCTGAGCCACACCCCAAAAATACGCACTCTAATGATTGACAACCTTGCTTAATCGACCATAATTAAGTTGATTAAATTATTATCGACAATTAATCAATCGGTGATTAATCATTAGCATCATCTGAGAGGAAACACAGCCTTCTATTGTTTACCTCAGTGGTTCTTTGTGGGCAGCCATGGTGGCAGGTGACGCGTATCACATGACTAAGCGATGGGAAATGTGAGCCTGGTAAGAAACAAGACCAAAATATACATTACGCATCAAGCAATAAACTCAGTACAGCTGCTGCATACAGGACTGAAATAATTAAAACAAGTGGTGTGATGACACATGGTTGAACTACCACATCATCTTAAAAACTCACGGGAAAACACGGAGATGCCCTCACACAGAGGCCAACAAAACACATACCAGCACTAACTTCCTTCAATTATCAACACGTTGGGAGACGAGCAGAGCATGGCCAGCGGGAGCCTGACTGTCGACTGCTAGTCAGGCCGTCCTGAGTGGGAGCCATGAGGTCTATTAGAGGGGAGGAAGCTCTCTAGTGAAGGCCTGATTATAAACGCACACAAAGCAGCTCATTCATCACTGCAGCCAGATGCCAGGCAAGCCCAAGACCATATAGTTACCAATCTACAACACTCACACACTCAAAAAGACACTCTCTTCACTGTCCAGTAATCCATCTGCGTACCCTGCGTGTGAACAGACTTGGTGGTCAGACATGCCTCATGTCCCTCTGACAATTGCATTTCTCTGTGAATGGACAACAGGTGACTAATGCAAAGACATTCAGCATCGATCTGTTCCATAAACTTCACTAAACAGAACAAAAGTCAGTCATCATTACCCTGGCACACTTCATATGCACTTGCGGTCTTGCGCATGTCTGTTCAGTCCAAAAGACCGTAGTAGGGTGTCCCATTTGTCATTTTAGGTTTAAGAAGCCGAGCTCGCACTGAAGCATGCCCCGCAGCAGACTTCCCCCAACAGTCAAAAAGTGTGACTTTAATCCAAACTCGCTTCATGTTAGACATTGGCTCCCACATAGACGCAGAGGCTCCCACATAGACGCAGAACAAGACATTTCCATTTCAGGACACAGATTAAAAATGGTCTCAGAATACAAGTATTTAGGACTGCACTTAGACTCTAATCTGGCCTTCAAAGCCCACATAAAGAGGGTCTGTAATAAAGTAAAGTTCAGTTTGGCTAATTTCAGGTATATCAGAAACCTCTTATCAACTGAGGCAGCTAAGGTATATTTCCACTCATTGGTTCTTTCCCACATCACCTACTGTTTGATAAGTTGGTCCAACACACACTCTACAGCCTTAAAACCACTGAAATCCTTATACAAACAAGCACTTAAAATTCTAGATAAAATGCCATTTCGTTACCATCATTGCCATATCCTAAAGAAGTATAATCTGCTTAGTTGGGAAAACCTCATAAAATACAGAAATGTCTGCTTAGTTTATAAGATCATGCACAGTTTAGCTCCTCCTCCTTTGTTTGGCCTTATTAATTTTAAATCGAGTGCAAACAGAGTTACAAGAGGTGCAACTAGGAGGGACAATTCCGCTAAAAAAAAACACATACAGTCAGGCCGTCTTTTCATTTACAGCATCACATCAATGGAACTCAGTACCACCATTAATTAGAGAGTGCCCATCTTATTACTTATTTAAGATTAATGTTAAGAAATGGCTTATTGAAAATCAACACTGTTATCACCGACGCTGGTCCCATCTATCAACAATAACTGTATCATCTATTATCAACTGATTTTTTTTATTTTTTTATCTTTTATCTGCTCATCTTGTTTACTCGATTATTTGTGATTTTAACAGTCTAATATTTTTACTTTGTATTTATTGTATAAATAATTGTATTGTAATATAACAGTTTTAGGATGCCGAATAACATCTGGCAAGGGGACTGCCGATGAAAACTAGCCTGTGGCTAACTCAGGTACGCTTACATTTGTTCTGAATGTTGATCAGTGTACATTGTCCCTTTTCAAATAAACAAATAAATAAAAATAAATGTCAAGTGCACTGACTGTTTGCAGCTGCTAGTTTCAGACAGCAGAAAACACACACACACAACAGTTACAGGTATTCTGGCCATGCGGGACAGTGGGTTTAAATAAGCCATGATAATTCACTATACAAAGCAGAGTGTCGCTTTAAATGTAAAATAAAAGGGTGTCTATAAAACAGCAGCAACAGTGATAATTACTGATTATAACGGCAATTATCCACCAAGCAAAGTCAGGCCTCCAGACTAACATACAAGAGTATTGGCACCAGTGCCACCAAAATCTACAGATATGACACCAGCACCTGATTTGGTAGCGCTGAGGGAGGGGACAGTGTGGCACAGTTCTAACAGGTTGAGCTATATTTTTTCAGCTTTTGGAGGTTTGACACTTGATGTTTATCATACACCTAAATAGCAGTGCAGCACATATTTAAAAAGAGTTCTGATGCGAATTTTTTTTGTCACATCAGAATGAAAAAAAAAAAAGGTCTCA